TGCCGCGGGTTGTCTCGGTTCGACGCTCGCTTCTGAACGATTCGAATGTCTAGTCTAGATCCTAGTAACCCAGTTGACCGTTTTCAACGCATCACTGCAGACGTAGAATATTAATTATACGGATTCAATGGGTGTAGTACGTGCCGCGGAAATAGGTCCCTTGCCGTTTGTTATCGCAAAGTCAGACTAAATACCGACGAACGCGGATACGAGCTCGAGATGAAAAACACTCGACGAACAACAAAACAAATTCGCACGCATGTAGAACGTTTAACGAGAAATCGATTACGTTTGCACTCGATTCGATAGGCGAACGATAAGAAACGGATTAGCCTCGAGATATGCTAGGAGTCCGGACGAGAGCTTGTCTTATGTAGAATCGTAATTCGAAGAAACATTAATCGCATGATTGTTACGTCAATTGTTCGTATTTGTTTTCTGTAACTCGTAAAACGCCCTCGATGTAATCTACGCGCGTCGGTACACGAAGAATTTCGAGTACGTGAAATCGATCGACGACAGCTCGAAGATAATCTTCCATCCGCTGTTCGCGTTACCGTTATCGTTACGATTTCGAGGCAAGGAATGTATTATAAATAATCTTCGTTCGAAGATTTTTCCATAACGCAAGCCAGGAAACTATCGCCATTTAAATTTTACAACTCCATCCGTCGAATCTTCCGTTATCGAATCCGCGCAAGTCCATATGGCGCACGGAACGTACATTACAGGACATTCCGGGCGCGAATCAAGGATTCATCGCGCAATCAGGCATTTAGCTTTGACGCGCGTCGTTGACCCAAATAACCAACTCACGCGGCTGTTTCCGCAACGTCACGAAAAGTATTGACTGCTCGGTCCGATAACGAGTCCATCGACGATTACGGCCACGGGCCGACGCGATCGGCGTGCAAACAGGCTTACGTCAGCGGGGACCATGCCGGGAGCTGGTTATTTTCGAGTTCTTGAGTTATTTCGGTCAGTGGTCGTCCTACGCTTGTTGCGTTCTCCTTCGCGACTCGTTCCACGGCCAACGATGTACCTACACTCGAGATCTTGAACTTGACTGGAGCCCGTGAACGAGCAGCCTTGCCGATCGTTACCGTTACCCATCGCCGCGTTACGTCGCCGTAATACACTCCGCGACAAAACGATACAGCATCCCTTGACAATATTTTTCTTTATTCCCCTTGAAATATTTTATTCCGTAATTTCTACTTTATATTCGATCAACGATAGACCTCTGTTTTTTTCCAGGGATTTCATCCAATTTATATAAAGAAAAATAAAAGAAAGGTACGAAACGATAGGACGGTTATCGGTCGGCTAGGTCAAAGATCGTCTTCGCAAAACGTTTCAAACTATTATCTCGCAAATTGTAAACAAGACAAGTCGTGTATTTATTTTTGGCACGCTTTTAATTTCTATCGAATAATTCGTCCACGTACAGAGATGTATCGTTTTGTCGCCGAGTGTATACGCAAATACGTCTCCTCCACGCGCGGTCTTCAAACTAATTATGCTATTCGATGCGTTTGCGTTTGCCCTCTATAGAATCGTCCGGCCATCGGCGTCTTTTGCAACGAATTTTTCCGTCTCGTGGGAAAGCACCGATAACCGGGTTCTCAATCGTTAATTTGGAGAAGCTCGCGCCGTCCTCGGGACACGCTATCTCGGTTATGCGTTTTTGCGTTCCACGCGATCGTAGAGATTAATACCGAGGAGTAATTGCGCCTTAGTCGGATCGTCCAGGGTTAATAATTGCTATTGAAAGACGACCTGCGCCACTCCTGGCGTTCCTCGTTCAGCTTCTTTATCGCTTGGACACCGCTCCTTTGATCCTATCTCACCGAGGTCTCCGTGAATAGCGAATTACTCCTGTTTGCGAACATTCGAAAAATCTTCGAGGATATAACGGCCGAGTTGGATGTTCTCGTGTTCCAGGATGACTCGTGCGAATCGTATCGAAAAGCTACACCTTCCGCGAAAAATATAATACCACGAATAAAAGTCGGTAGATAGGGACATTTCGGTAAACTCGACTCGATCTGGTTCCAGCTCGTGATTTCAATTTAAAAGCTACTCGACGCTGAACAGAGATTGTAAAAAGAATTCCAAAAAATATTACGAATATTTGCAATGATCGCAAACGATTCAATTTGTAGATCGCGGTTGTAAAAAAATAATTGTCAGAAGTGGGATTCGAACCCACGCCCACAGAGTGGACTGCGACCTGAACGCAGCGCCTTAGACCGCTCGGCCATCCTGACTTGTTCAGTTTCCTCTGAAATTTTGTACAATTAGTGAACGGTAAGTCTATATTTGGAAATTAAATTTTAAACTTACGTCGATCAATCGGAAAGTCTAATACAATCGTAAATGTTCATGGCTAATATCTAACCCGTTATTAGCGAAAGATTATGATACGAGTTCGCGAGTGAAACTTTCGTATCTATCGTTCGACGTTAAATTTATATTCCCGTTTGCACAGACGCTGGCGTTTACTATTTGTTGTACGGTTTAAAATAGAAGCGTTTACTGTTTATTGTACGATTTAAACTAGAAGCGTTTCGCGATTACTTATTAAAAAATAAAGATAACGTTTGAAAGCGCCGCGAGGCAACGTTGGAAGGTACTACGTGATCCGAAGTGAGTTTCAACGCGGCTGTTTACCATCCATCGGTACCTTCTTTAGCGACCGTAGGATATGAATCATTCTCGAGAATCGTATCCTCGGTATGTACCGCCAAAGGAGAAACTCGATGGCGCGAAAACAGAGACACTCGGAAAACACTTTTTCCTCCGATACGCCTCTGCTTTCACTTCCGCGCGTCAAGGCTGACCCGCGAGCACGTGCATTTCGTATTGTGCTATCTCGTAACCGACCCGACTGCAATTTCTACGCGAGGCTGACCGATAAATTATTGGAATTTCACTTTCGTCGTTCGCGGTTCAACGACGACTCGCGATCCTCTCGAGGATAAACCGCGTCGGATATTTTTCTACCTTCCCGGACGATTCTCCTTAGTAAACCGACGTCGATTCTGCTTCAAAGAAAAATGTTTTATGCACGGTTTAACTCTCGAAGCATTATTCACGTCACCCCGAGATTGTCTTCGAGCCCCGTCGATTCCAGGTTACGCGTGGCTTAAATATACGCGAGATCGACCAGACGGCGTCCGTCGAGCGTCGTTCCCGTTCATATAAAAGAGCCTCGCGGAAGAATGGCGCACCTTCCATTAAAGCGATTTATGTCGTTCAAAGTTACGTCCTCCATTTATTTCGACCCTCAAACGTTGAAGAGTTTCGACCCTCACATTCGCGGTGCGGGATGCGGACATCTTGTTCGGCTCATTGCGTCTAAATTGTACCGCGACCATGAGTAATTAAAATCGTATATCACGACGTCGTTTATCGCGCGTGTCTTCAAAGCAGGCCGAGACAACGGAAGATAATTTTGTTTCGTTCGTTGGAAATATTAAAAAAGTGAAAATATGTCGTAATTACGTAAACTCTTGGAATCGATGGTAAGTTGGTTGGTCGAGGTTTCGAAGTCGTTACAGCGGGGCCTTCGAGATCCAGCTCTTGCTTTCCGAGCAGAGACCGGTTGAGACGTAGCGCGTATGTGCACCCGTGTGTATTCGATCACGTAGAAAGCTCGGTTGCGTAACAGATAACCGGATCTCCTCGAGAAACAGTTTTCGGATCGAAAAACCGACGACGCGACGGAGCCCAGAAAGCGGATGACGAGGGATCGAGAAATTCGGTGAAACTATAAACCTCTTCGGGAGACAAAAATCAGCCGCGAGCGAGAGATCGTGATTCGCGTGCGGCGATTCGATCGGTGCTCGTGTTACGTAAATTACAAATAAAAGTGAAAATATGCGACACCTAGTTTACCTAAACAGAGTTAATGAGCGAACGCGAGAAGCAAAGATTTAAACACAACACGAAAAAGAAAAGGGAACCGTCCGACTTTATTCACATAACGCAAAACTATACCATAGGATCGTTTCCTTTCGCGGCAGAAGTTTGCATACGAGCGCGATTAACAACGATTCGACATTCTAAAGATCGGCGCCGAAAGACCTACAAATACATGAATTAAATTTACAAAATTAATTTTAGAAAGGCGTTTAAGTCCGCTTTCTAGAAGAAGAGAGAGTACCTGAATAATTTTGTTTCCCGTTAGGTTGATCTTAACCTCATTGTGAAATTCCGAATCGATGAGAACAGAAGTTGAAATGTACCATCATAGAAGTTACTATCGATTGTCGAAAAACGACAACGACAGATAATTTTGTTAATTTTACCTAACAATTTTCGTTACTTACATTATAGTGTTTGTTCAGTGGAAAATTACACGTTGCGCGTTGAATCGCGCACGGAGAATTTCTAACGAAGATCCTTCGTGTTTGAAATAAACACATTAAATAAGAAATTACAGATATCCGTTGAAGGAAAGATAAAACGAGGTAGCAAAGAGTCCCTCCGGAGGTAGTAACGCGAACAATAAATTATCTCGATGCCCCCACGCTTTCTACAAACATTGTTAGCGAAGGAAAAAGTATTTGCTTTGCACGTGGAATCTAGAAATTATGGCGTAAGAAACTTCCATACCAGTGTCGTATTACGACGGTAATCTCGCTTAATAATTGTAGCGGCGAAAGTTAATGACTTTCGCAAGAATCGAGGATCGCTTACCGAAGAACGGGAAGAGTCGATCGCAGCGATTCGTGATAGAACTAATCACGAGCTCTAGATCGAAATTCACACCAACGTAGACGTTTCTTAAATTTATCGTTTTCAAAGAAACGTTCAACTTTTTTCGACGGAGTACCAGAGACCACACGTAGAAAGTAGGAAATAGTATTTTCGCGCGGACGAATAAATCGAGACTCGTTTGAAAAAAAATGGTAGTAGGTATATCCGTGAAAATGATTCTAGGTATAATAATAAAATATGGAAAAGTGTTCTCAAGTGTTTCCATTGGCGCGCGCGGCCTTTCGATTTCGATGCGACTTCCTGTCCCAGTGCTGGACTATAAAATGGAGAGCAACGAAAAAAAGAGGTTTCACAAACACGTCGAGTATCTCGTGGCGGTGGTCTACGAGACATATAGAGATAGAGAGTCTTCCGAACGGGACAAGTCGCGCGAACGTTCGGGGACCGTTCGAAGGTAAATACATTTACACCGCGGTAAAGTGCATCGTCGAGAGAAAGGGACCGCTGTCCACGGGTGAACGCGACTGCTAACCTGATTCGCTTCATTCAGTGCGTGATCCTTAGCCTCGTGTGTGCGCGCGTCAATCTTGGTCCTCATCGCGACACTCGTAAGGTTCGACTCTCGCATTCGTTGTAACGAGTCTAACGGTTTCGATAGCGATCGAATCTCCGTTGATCGGTAACTCTGTTGAACGTTGTCGCTGAGAAAGGAAAGGCGCGCGATAACGAAAAAAGGATTCGTCGAAGAGAGTTGAAATGGGAACGTAAATCACGATCGTCGATAATCGAACCGTTCGCCAGGGTGATACGATACATCGTGCCGGCTGGCTAGTGAAAAAAGGAAAGCAAGTCTCTTTCCTTGGTCGTAAACAGTCCGCCGCACCGTCGTTGAGCTCGCGCCAACGACCGACGTCCTCAACCATGCTCGACGATCTAGACAACTGAACGATCCGTGAACGAGAATTAGCCGTCACGTCGAGGAACTCGTTGATCGATGTCATCGTTCGAAATGACGATTGGAACACTCGTCGTGAGAAATCCCTGAAGCGATCGCGAATCGTGCTCGAGAGAAGACGGTCATCGAGATCTTCCTTGGAACAAATATCGTTCGAGCAGGTTAATCTTTCGAAAATGACACCCTTGCTGACTTACTTTCTATTGACGTTGAGCTGCGTCGTCGACACGACGATCGCTAAAGATGGATCGAACATCCTCCGGCTCGGAAAATCGCGGGACAAGATCGCGACCACGACCGAAACGCCTAATTCGAACCTGACCGATTACAAGGATGACAAACTGCCGAAAGAACGCGGACGATTGGTCGGATTCAGCAAGAACAATCCGGAACTCGATTGGAAGAACATTTTGAAAGTGTTTGACGCCAAGGAGGAGGATCGTGCGGATCTAGACGTCGATTTTACGAAGGAGAAGCTCGAGAAAACGGCCAACAGTATCCAGTGGCTGGCGGATATTTACGATCCCTTAAAGTGGTCTAGAGTGCCTGGGAAACTCGACGGCGATTGCAGGACTGACTTGGAATTCTTCTTGAAGTCTCTCAAGGATGGAAAGCCGTGGGCCGCCAAGAGTGAGTAAAAATAAACGCGATTAGAAGACGATCGATACATCGCGCGTCGTTCTTTTCTTTCCATTTCGTTGCCGTTAAATTCATCGTAATCGGGTGAAAGAAAAAGACGTCGATAATTCACCCTTCGTCGCGTATTCACCCTAATTGATAATTCGGCAAAACCGTGTACCGGTCGTTTTATCGAGTCGCCAATCCAGAGAAATTCATGCTCCGTTAAGTTTCCACTGTGTCGCTGGCGGACTCGGTTGCCAAATACCTCATTACTTTGCGAAACTACAATTTACCGCTTCGTAATAGTTATCCAACCGTGTTGCTCTCGTTGCTCCCCTTTCGTTTGTTCCGAAATGCTTTATCGCCGAGGCGCAATTAAAGCAAACGACGACGAAGAGCGCGATCCCAGGATTCCTATTCCTGGAAACACTGTTGCACTGTTTCGCGGTATTCGTTTCGTGCATATCCAATTTTCTCACTTTGTTTGTTTGTGACGCGACGAGAAAGGTCGAATACGAAAGCGTAAATAAGCTCGAGGCACGATTCGGCACAGTTGTCCGCGAGTGCGAGTCAAAATTTCAGCGCGGAGAACTGCGTTTGCGATATTTATCAAAGGATACAAAAAGAGAACGGCTCGGAACGGTCGCCGCGGTGTATCGATCGAAGCTGCAGTCGCAACGCGAAACAAATCGACCTCCATGGCTCTACGGATTTACGATGATTTCCGACAACAACAACTATGGCAGCCAGGTTTATCGATGGCTATGTCGCCGAAATCGAGCGGTATCGCAGTCGAAACCGCACGCGTCGTTAACTTCCTCGCAGCCGAAGTCGACTTCTCGACGCGATGTTATACGTTCCTGGACACCGTTCAACCCCCCAGGGATATACGATCCATCGGTCGATATCAAATATTCAATCGGAATTAGAATCTTCGCTTTCGAGTAAAACGATTCGAAAACGTCGCGGCGTGTACGCGCAGTGGAATGTAGAATACGACGTGACTACGCGTCTGTCCATTACACGCTGTTTCTACTCGCGGACGAGGTGGAAGCAACGGTTTCTCTCGTGCCGCGCTACTTTCCGTTTCTACTTGTACTCGGTGTTTTGTAAACGACGAAAGTAGCGCGGTATTGTCCTTTTTCCGGCCACTTCAACTGTCATTCAAGTTATTTGATTTTGATTTCAAAATTAAATAAAAATAATTCGTATTCGTACGGATAGCTGGTTCGATGTATACGAGAAAGCTACGTGTGTAATTTCCACAACGCCATCGCTTGACAGTTAACGATAATAGAAGGAATATCGATGAAAATTTGAGCAAATATCGAACTTCCGTGTTGTCGGTCCTGTGTCACGGTGCGATCAACGAGAGTTTCGTAATACGTATTTGCTTGTATTCTGTTCGCGCGTTGCACGCGTTTGACGCGATAGTCGACAAACTGGAATTTAACGCGTTAATGGACTCGTACCAACAGCGGTTCCACGAGCAATACCAAACATTGCTCCCGAATAGTACTGTAACGATACAAGAGTTAAGTCAGAAATTACCGAGTAATATTCCATAATGTTCTCCTTAGGCGGGAAATCGCCGAACGATAATCGTATTTTGCAACTCTCTGCTTAAAGTGCCGATGAACTCGAGAAATTACATTTGTAATCGTTGCTCGGCAGGAACGTAAATTACCGTGAAATTACTTTTTGTACCGCGCCAAGTCGAATTAGATGCGCGCTAGATGTTACCTCAGACATAATCTCGGCTGTTACTTTATTTTATGCGTTGAATCGGCTCTGCTTGGCTGGACGCCATTTTGAATCAGCGTCACGTTTCACTGGTTGCAAGTTTTGTCGACTCGCGCGGAGACCATTGGTCGAACGAACGAGCAAAATGCAACTATTTCGCGTGAAACTCGTTCGCGCGAGTCACATGACTTCAAATTTTATCAATCGGACAATCGTTCCACTCGCTCGCTTGGGTCTTCCAAAGCGAAAGGTAACCAACCGATCGGGTATCTTAATTAATTTCGAGGGTAGAAGACGATTACTTTTTTCCTCGAGTTTACATTGCGACGCAAGGTGGTCGGTGATTCCCGCGAAACTGTGTCAAAGAAGTTAGATCCTACTGTCCGGTCGTTGATTCGCTCGTTTATCCGAAGATCGCACTTTCTCTACTCTCGCGACCACCAGCCGGCAGTTTACGTAACTGGCAATGAACCTTCAGGCGTGGTTGGCTCGCGTAACCCAACCCTGGAAAGCTTCGAAAGCTGCGACACCGAAAATTTTGCCTAACCAGGAAGATAATCTTAAACTAAAAGCACGGAATATCGTGAGAATATTTTTATCAAGATGAGCTTTCGTACATACTTGTATCGATACGTCGCAAATAATATGTAAAATATCGAACGGTTATCCTTGCATCGATCGTGTTCCTCTCGCGGGACTCGCGATACAACTCTGTGGCAGTTACACGATTCACGGGTACGCATCCACCGTGTCAGGCTTCGAGCATCTTTTCGAGTTCTTTCGAGCATCGAAAACTTTTCGAACAGTAGAAATCTCTTTCGTTCGAAAGTATGACTTTCACCGAGCGGCTCGTGAAATACTTCGTACGGATTGCGATGAAAGAACAATACCAAACGCTTTTATCGCTCGAATCTAAAAAGTACTCTCTTTAGAGACGTAGATAATCGTAGGTTACTTTAATTATCGTGCTTACGTAAACAAGCTACATTTACGTTTTTTCTCCTACGAATCAAATAAAATGCATGCTCGTTTTATTCATGTTTTCCAGTGTCGGACGCAAGCGGTCGTTACTCGTCGCAATTTCATTTCGGAAACGGATTTTGGCTCGGCTCGAGAAGTCTCTGCCGAGAGGTGAACTCCACCCACGAAAAAGTTGACATGAGAATCGACGACAAACCACCTTATCCGATCAATTTCCACGTAGCTAAAATGTATCTGACTTTGCCGCAGGAGTTCGAAATTTCCGTAAGTATCCCTGTCTCGTTCGCCTAGCGAATCTTTAAATTTAGCGCACGTGGCTGCTTCCTGTCAAAAAAAAAAAAAAATGGAAAGAACAAAAGCGTTAATGTTATCAACTCCGAACCAAAAAGTTCGAACCAAGTGTCGAGGTTGTCGGCAGCTTTAATCGCATTCGAAGCACTTTGAATGTTTCGAACAGCTGCTGGCCAAACTTTATCCCAGCAAGAGACCGTAAGTTTTGGCGTTTCCGCTAATCAGATTATGCGACGCTTTATATCTCGCAATTATCCAGAAACAGCGTCGTGGTTTGCAGCTACCGTTTTTTACGAGAGGCATTTCGAGGAAGTTTCCTTATTAATAAACGCACGGCTCGCGCTGGAAGCCTCGTAGCTTGGGATACATTTAAGGAAATTGAAATTAAAGCGAGCGTACGAGAAGCGGGATGCGGAAAAGCGAAATAGATGTCGTCGGCCAACGCGAGAAAAGCCTGAATAATCGAGACGCATATTTCGCCATTTCGGCTCGGTACTGAATCGTTTTGTCGCTTAAATTAACCTTAACGCTCTCGCGTATGAAAGTTTCGAAGGTAGAAGAATGGACACTTGAAAGGAAGTTGTCCCTGCTTCCAAGTCTGTTGAAACGCAACGGTCGCGAAACTCGGAACCGCGTAGGATCTGCACTTTTCGCAGGCGAATAGGAATCCTCTGATCTAAGAAGGATTATCTAAGGCCGAATCGCGAAAAGTCAGGTGGAATAGGAAATGCGACGGAAGAGAAGAGCGAAAACCTCGAAGCATAACGTACAATGAGAGAAATTTTCAAGTCGAATCTCGAGCGTAATTGAAGATACCAGCTGGTCTTCTTTGAATTAACGCATCGATTCATGGTAAACAGTATCTACGGCAGCGGGTAACGAAGTTAACGAGATCGCTACGAGTCGAAAGAGTTAGCTAGACGTTTTATACGGGCAAAATTGTTGGTCAGTTGACGGTGCTGGAGCCTGGTCGTAAAACGAATGATTTTACTTTACTTTCAGAGAAGGCAAGTATTTTTGGGTCTCTGTCTGCCGGCTACGTGTAACCGGACGTCGCTGACCTCGATGCTGAAAGCTAGCGCGGATCGAGTCGAACTGGAAGGCAATTCGACTTATCGATCGACCGGCCCGAAGATTCACATCGTCGAGGTGAAACCTGTGCCTTCGAGCAATTACAGTCCTTGGCGCGATCCCAAGTTGTATGTCCTCTCGTAAGTAATGCAAAAACTTTTCCTCCGCGGTACCCCGTAAATCAGCAGCGTAAACCAAATTTTCGAACCGTTCTTCGGTCGATAATAGCCCTACGCAGGACCCCGTAGCGATAACTCTGTCCATAACTGTGCCAAAATCGACTCGATTCTCGAGCACTCTCCGAGATAAAACCGTTTAATTTGCAAAATAATTTCCCGAAACGCTTCCTGAATATTCTGAAACGTGTCATGCTCGCGTGCCACTTAAACGAAAGCAGTTACGTACCTACTTTACAACACGACACACGGGAGAAAAGAAACGCGCGAGTACTCTCTTATCCGTACGGCCGCGTACCTCGTTAAACTTTCCTCCTTTCAGAGGCTGTGTTAACAACGTCGAACACACCATGGCAGCATTTTTAGTTACGCGATTACGGTAAAAGTTTATAATTCGCCCCGTTGAGCAGAATGAAACGTAATTTTCGGGCGGTGCACGCTGGTCCAGAATTAAGTTCTAACGATTATTTATGATTCGCGATTAATTTTTGTTTACAGTTCACCGTGCAACGTTCCAAGTTAACATCAACGGCGCGTCGATCGTGGCTCGATAAACGCATTCGTTATTACTTCCGATCGTATTAATTCTGTACATTCGCTCTCCCGACAACGTTGGACCGTCCAATGGCCGATCGCTGTGCATAAATGCACATGGGCGCTCACGTGCACAACACACATTTCGTACTTTCTTCCGAGATGAAATTCCTGCTCTTACATAACGGTCGACGAAAACGCGGATTTCAGACGCGTCTTCCTTGCGCAACCAAGAAAATTCCCAACGACTCGAAATCCGAGTTTTCGTTACACGCGAAACGTCCATCTTGCGAGAACAAACTCGAACGCAACGCAAAAAATGCGTTACCCTTCTCGTTCTACTTTCGACAAATTAGGGGAAAGAAACGATTTGCACGATCGAACACGCCCGACTGTAACATTATGCAACCCGTGTGTCACGGTTACATCGGAGCGCGACGCAACGCCGATTGCGTAGAGTTTCTAACGAAAAAATTGCTAGACGCGGATCGTCGGTCTACTTGCACAACCTCGCCGTTCATAATTCGTCATGGCGATGGTAGGTATGGTTTTTTGCAAAAGCTACTAGATCGCGAGTTTCGCAACGAAGAGCCGTGGCCGCGTTGCGGCTGGCAACGAGTTCGGTTGAATCTCTACGAAGCGATGTACGATAGTTTCGCGAATCCGTGAAAATGTGACACGCGCTTTTACAGTCTCTATCGTGGTATATCGTAGATACTACCGTTTCGTTTGTCCTGTGCTACCACGATATCGGTTTGTTCGTGTTTGGACACTGAACGTTTCTATTCGAAGAATAACAATTCATCGAGTTTCCACGAGAAATCATACTTTAAAGATTTTCCAACGATTTCTAATTTCTTATAATGTCGAAAGTGGTACGAAACTCGACGGTCTCCGATGTTTCGAAGTGTTTCAAGTAAAGACAGAGTTCGAGCCGAACGGCCATCGTTAGGTGGAAGTATCGATTCGATGAGAATCGGATTAAGCACGAAAGGACGTCCCGATGCCTGGCACCGGCGTAGTTTTACGAGACTTTGCCGAGGATCCGAAGGAAGCTCCGCCTCGCAACGGGAAACTTTAATAGATTTCACGAGACGAAATGTCTCTGCTTGGTTCGCAAAGCTTCGAGTCGCTGCTCTTCGTCGGGTGATTAGCTATGCGAAACGATAAGGAACCGTCGACGACGGTGCTTGTTATTTTATCGTACTCCGTTTAAAAGCATCGAAAGACCAATCTCTCATCGTCGCGCACGTTTCGGATTTGTCGGTGTTTCGCAAAATGTCAAATACTCGTTAACGCCCCGCTCGATATATAAATAGAACATTGCACCTTGCGACGTACTTGCACGCGATACATATTAATTATAAAATAAGATGCAACGCGTTCAACATTCAAGGCGAGTTACAATCTAACGGTCTGATTTCAACGAGATCACACACCTCGACGTGTTCAAGCTACAGGATCGATGTACGATCATGGTTGACCTCCGTTCGATTCGCTTAAAAATTCTCCCGTGCAGCTAAACTTTTTATTTTTTATATATATTCATTTATTCCTACATCTGAAGAAATTCTTCCTAATCGGGTTCGAAACGACTAAAACGTTTGTCGGCAGGTGCATGTGGACGACTGCATGTGTGCCGCGAACGCGTTATGCAAGATCATCGAAAGCCTTCGAGCGTCAACACGTGAAAGTGCCTGGATAATCCTATCGTGCGCATTCCACGCGAATGCGGGCTTCGTTCGATGCGCTGCGATGCTCCTTTCCGAATTTGCGTACAATCGATTTTAATGGCTCGTTTACGGTAAAATTGTCACCGGTACAGCGTTCACGCTAAATCCGCGAGCCACGCTCGCCGGGGAATTCCAGTTATAAAGGTGGCTTAAATCGAATCACGGTTCGAGCCTTTTTAAACTTTATGCTTCCAACGAACAACGAATCGAAAGTATTTTTATTTTTCGAACACGGACGATAGCAATGTAGCTTAGGCGAAGAAGCATCCCCTAGAAAAGTAAACGCGATGCACAATTCTTAAACGTTCATTGCCCTCGTAATAGTTACATTAAACCGCCACTCACTCAGAAATGGATGAAGGAGCTTCCGCGTAACCTCGCGCGTCGCTCTGATACGAGTGACACGACGCGACGGCGATGGTTAACGCGTTAACACGTTCGCTACCATCCGTCACGTGCGCGTGACGCGTCGATTTTCACGAGAGACGGGTGTCACGTATCACTCGTTTGCTGCAACAATGACGTTAGTCCACATTTAACGTTATTACCAGAAAATTAACGATAAAGGAACATTCGTGGCCAGTATTTAAAGACAGAAGAAACCGGACACGAGAGTTGTATATATTTAAAAAAAAAGCAACCGCGGTCGTTCGGCCGGATGCGAAACGTGAATTGTCGGTTCCAACATCGAGTACGTATAATGACGGTGATCGAGAGATACCTGGAAGCACCTGAATCCACTTTCACCCCCTTATTATTGACGTTTCGACAGGTTAGGAGGTTCGGGGTGCGGATACATCCAACGTCGCGTCGGCGTCGGCATCGGTTCCTCGTGATTCGACTTCGGCCGTCTGGTTTCTCTCGGGGGATGCTAGCTGCACGGTGCAATTTACGGATAAATTGAAAATTTGTACCGCATCGTAGTCGTTACAGTCTCGTGGGATTCGGGAGGATAGAAAAAGTATAGGAGGAACGATCTCCAATCCGATGCAGTTCCCGATAAGCAATCCGTTAAAGAACCAGGGCTCTTACCTAAAACCTCGAAAAGACGTACAAGTCCAGGATTTATTTTTCGAACAAATTCTTGTGCTTTGCGTTTGCAGATATAGAGTAATTTATTTCTGGACACAGTAATTGGATACGCAGATGTGTACATTCGACTGGACCCATTTTAAGGATTAGCTTTCCCTACGTAGTCAAATATACCACGGCGACTATTATTACTATTTTGAAAAAGGGTTTTAAAACCACGGAACGGAAGCAACATTTTGTCCGATATATCTTCTTATAAACCGACCGGCAACCGATAAACATTATTTTACGGGAAATCTGATTTATCGCTGGAATGTAATTTCCCTCGGTTGGTTAATCGTGTTTCGAGCCAATCGACGAAACGCTGCGGAAAAATAACGTCGGAGAGGAAATACACGGCGAAAGAAAGTCCAAGTTATGGTTGTTAATTCCATGTTGTAATTTTCGCATCGGTATATCGTTTTATTCCTGTATGGCCGTTTAGAATTTGGAAGATCCTTTGACTCGAGCGGTAGCATTAAGCGGTGTTATGTTTTTAGAGGAATCGGAGGAGCGGTAATTTTGCTGATGGTGTGCGCCACGATCTACGAATACAACTTTACGCCAAACGTCATGGACATCGAATCCTCGAGCGTGTCGAACAATAACGAGAGGCTCGACAATTTCTCCAACAAAAACTTGAATCAGGATCGCCGAATATCCATGGGTCAAGAGGAAGGAGAAGAAAAGAGCCTGCAGAAAGATCTGCCGGAACAAGCAAACAAGAAAGATAAGAGAGGTGCTGGATTCGATCCTCCTTATTCGAATCCTTTCTTCGACAGGATTTTTATCCGTTTATTTTCCTCAGGACTTTGGTTAACGTGCCTGGCTGCTTTTAATCCTATTTCGAACGGAAGCAAAATCCTCAGCACCGAGCCTGCGGCTAGAGAGAATTTGACTTGTCTGCACGGACTACGAGTGTTCTCGCTGGGCTGGGTCGTCATGGTGCACACCTATCTCCAGGTGTACGCTATCGCAGGTAAAATTACTTCTCTTTTCGAAATCGACGCGATAATCGTCGAATCGATGAAAATAAAATCGGGATTTACAGAGAACAAGACGTTGCGCACGGTGACCGAGCGGAACTTCATGTTCCAGACGATCAGCAACGCCACCTTCTCCGTGGACACATTCTTCTTCATCAGGTAAGAACGACGAAACATTCTCGCGCGTCGTGTACAATGATCGCACGGTACAATATGTACATAGAAAAGTTAACTAAGACTATTATAGAAGTGTTGGCGTGTAACGTTACTCGGAGGATTCTTTCAGCGGTTTACTGGTTACGATCCTTTTCTATCGATCCGCCGGGAACTTGAAGAGCGACAACAGCACCTTCCTGAAGACGTGTTTCACCAAATTTATCATCATGATTCTCTACAGATTCATCAGGTGAGCGGTGACATTGAAAAATGTGAGAACAAGTATGTCTAGTTTTGTCGATTGTAAGAGCAAGCAATGAACCATTTATATTCCGTGAAAATGTGAAATGTGAACGTTAATTCGATTTCTTTTCGCCAAGGTTAACCCCGGCGTACCTCTATGTTCTGGGAATGAACGAGATCGCCATAAAACAAGCTCAAGCAACGACCGTTTTCTTTCCCGTGATCATCGATGACGTGACGTGCGAAAAGTTCTGGTGGAGGAACGCGCTCTACATAAACTCGTTGTATCCCCGATCGGAAATGGTAAGAATTTCGTAACGGACCCGCGAAAAGTGGCTCGACGTCTCTAGGTAAAATAATTGGCCCGAAATAATCGCCCTCGACGATCCAGTAATCAGTCTCGACTCGATGGAAAAGATTAAACGAAACGATCTCTCGCGTCGCGGCACAGAGAAGCGAACGCAGCGAAATATCCGGTAGGAAGTACGAGTGAACGGAAGACACCAAACAGCGAAGGTGTCGGAGCTCTCGATCGTTTTCCGATAATTAATTCCATCGTTCGAAGAAAGTTCCAAAGTATCGGGACAACGCGAAGTGCCATCTAACCATCCCAAAATGAATTTCATCGATCATTGAACGGAGTCGGTAGATTCTCGCTTAATTCGCTTCGAGACGTTAACGGATCTCCTCGTCGTTTGTACCTACTAAAGAGAAAAAAGAAATTAAATAATAAAACTCTCGGTACTCTCCTTAGTTCTAACGAATCAGGGCTGACGAAACTCGCTACCCAATGGATTAATCGACCGGTTGAACCGTCGTTGCCGAGAACGAAGTCTATAAAACGCTGTCGGAACGCTTCCACGCGATCAAACTGTTTGCGAGCACGACGTTCGATCCATTAACCTCGCACCTTTCTCGCGTATAGATTTTCCCCGTGCCAAGTATTTTCCGACACTTTCGCAAGGCCGACCCAGTCAGGGCTCGTTGAACCTTGACGCAATTATCCGATGAATACTTGATTAACAACTTTCCAGTGTATGCTGTGGAGCTGGTACATGGCAAATGACACGCAGTTCTACGCTCTCGGAATACTTTTGCTTCTTCTGTCCATTAAATATTTAAAGGCCATCGCAGTCGCTGTTCTTTTCCTGATCGCCTCCTCGTGGTTCACCACCTTCTTCGTGGCCTACACCAACGATTACGTCGCCAGGTAAATCGAGTGTCAAATTCGTTATTAACATTTCTGTTTCATATATACGAACACATCGCAATCCGAATTACATCGTCCAGTAAACGGTAAACGATAATCCAATTTTTAAACGCCCATTTTCGTGTAATTGGTTAATAGAGTAAAAGACTTTGCGACACATGTTCCCTGGGTCGGCTTCCAGTGGACTCTCGAGTATATTGGAAAACGTAACGGCTCATTTCCAATACCTAATAATCGAACACCAAGCTTCTGGTTTCCAGCCGAACCCGACAATGTGCAATAATTTTCTCGTAATTATAGCGACTCGACTGCGCGCCGCGGTTTCCATTTTCTTTCTCGATTGTCTCCGCCAGACGCCGTGTTCCCCCGTAAAACTTTATTCCCTCCGTTTCTTCTTCACCTAGGATTCAAGAACCTTTCGCCCTTTTCGACGAGCTCTACGATAAACCCTGGCTGAGGGCTGGTCCTTACTTCGTCGGCATTATCACCGGCTACATCCTCTTCAGGACGAATTGCAAATTGAAACTGCCGCTGGTAAGTACTTTAAGCCTGGGAAATGGTCGAGTTCGGTTTAACAAAGATCGTAAGGACCAAAAGTTTGCTACTCTCCAGAAGGAGGATTATTTAAAGTCGAGTAGCTTTCCGATTTTCGATGAATATTGTTTATAGTTATCACGGCGACGAGAGACGTCGTCCGAGATGAAATCGAAGACGCTTAATCGAGGTTCTGTTTTAGATAGCGCAAACGATCGGTTGGCTGTTATCGACCGGCGTGATGTTCCTGGTAGTTTACGGTCTATATCCCGGAAATTTAACTGTAGCGACGAGCTCCACGTACGCCGCCTTAGGACACACCGCCTGGGCGTTGGGTGTATCCTTCATAGTGATTCAATGTTGCACCGGATCCGCTCGAATGATCGACAGCTTGCTGTCGCTCCGGCTGATGTTTCCGCTCTCGAGGTTGACTTACTGTGCATACTTGGTGCACCCTGTCATCATGCTGATCACTGTTAGTCAGATGGACGGCCCGTTGCACCTTCACAACGGTCTTGTGGTGAGTCGAGGCAGGCTGGAGGAGGCCTCGTTAAAGTAAACGTTTTCCACTAGACGCGGACCGTCCATAATCCAAACGAGTTTCCTCTCGACACTTTAACGCTCGTTCCGTTCCTTTCCGTTCCTTTCAGTCGACATCCAATTCTTGGAGCGTACAACTTTGCCGCGGTCTCCAACCTTATTCAAAGGCGACCCCTGATTTCCGAAAATTTCAGCGACCGAAATTAATATAGAAAGAGTTTCGTTACCTCTTTTTTTTCAACTAATTCAAAGTTCACCTGCTTCTGGAACTTGATAATCGAATAGATATTAGGCCATTCTATAAGTTCGTGTTGCAGACTGAGCCAATATTTACGACGAATCATACTTTCGCGTCGTTTCTCGAATAGCGGAACATTTGCATTAACGCAAACGTTCGCGGTGAATCGAAGTATGGTCGCGGCAATGGGTTCGAGGCGAGTCTGAAGGTTTGTTTGCTTTTTAAGCTGATCCTGTATCTCGGCAATCTCGTCGCTTCGTACTTGACGTCGTTCTGCATTTCTATCGCGCTCGAAGCGCCCGTAGTCAATCTGCTAAAGATTGCTTTTATCTCGAAGAAGAGGATAAGGTAGAAGGAAAAGTTGGAAAGCGCTCTATCGCGCGATCAACGCGGACGGTGAGTAACGGACGTTTTCGATTGATTCGACGATAAACGTATTATTAAAAAAAACATTGTCGATCAACTTTTGTTTCTCAGGAAATATTTGTAGTCCTTCGACGAAGGGAGCCCCGTTCCAGGACGGTCTGGCGCACGTTTTCAGGATAGAATAGTCGACCTCCGCGTGTTCATCGGGAAAAGGTTGTTCGACGACGCCGACGTTCGATTCGGTCGCAAAACACGGAACTCAACGCCTACCCATTCTGCGAATATTCATCGCGAACGATGATCCCCGTATCGACGATGCGCTCACGTGGCAAAACACGAATCGCTACCGAAGAATTGTTTTTATATTTCTTTCGTACCGTTAAGGTCTCCTTTTGTAAAGTATGCGTGTGAATATAGCGATACAGCATCCGATACTAATTAAAAGAGTTCGAAATGTATCTTCCCCTTTCAAGCAAAGATATCAGCGGCTTAATTAGCGAGCTTTATTCTCTGTTTCGCAATGCAGCTGCGTTGTTCGTCCAATACTCGATGAATGGAAAATATTCGTTACCTCGATACAGCGTTAAACTTTGTTTCCGTAAAATTTAATTCAGAAATGTTGTGACGGGGCTCTTTTACTCGGTCCGGCAAGTGGCGAGCCGTAATTTTTATCGAGAGACGCGTTCATTTTTCGACAACGAAAAAACGAGCAAAGGGGAACCTTTATCGCCGGCGTGTGTGTTTCTCGAAGCATCACGCAGCGACCGTAACTCGATGGAACAAAGCGTTTTTTCCAGCCAAAGCGGCAACCTTGCCAAGGACGACGAAAACTAAATTAAAAGCCTTCGACTCGATTGCTTTACGAAATAAAAATTTAACCGAGGTAAAAGAGTTCGTTTGTCGTATGCATTTTTTTGCACATCGCGCCGTTTCTGTGAAATTTTACTCAACGAATTACGTAACTTTGTAGATTCGTTGCTACGACCTCGGTTTCTCTTCCTGTGTATATATTGCCCGTATACGCCTGTTTGGATATCGAATAAAGTTTTCGAGAAAAATGGAGAAAATGAAAAGGAAGAGGAATTACCCAATGCTAAATAACGTTGTTTGCGCGTCGAAGCTGCGGAGCTGTGATAATCCTATTGCTGATATTAATACGTTTTTACGTATTCGGTTGCAGTTGACTAACGATAAGCTGGTCTATAACGTTCCGATCGATAGACCTGAAACGAAGATAGCTTTACGAGCGTTGCGAATAGGTAATTCAAAGCGGTCTCGATGACTAGGTCAGGGGTTAAGCGTGACATATTGAAACTCGGTTTCACGATTCCACAGGATCAGCAGAGCACGCGGACCCACAGAAAGAACGGTACTGGTTTGCCGGGAATGCAGTCGCTTTCGTATCGTCGCGCGAACATCATCGGATCAACGGTGCAAGCGTAAAAGAGGAATGCGATAACGTAACTGGACGTGGCGTCGAGTCGATCGATGCCGTATCAATCGTCTTCGTATCGAACGACGTACCGAAACCGTATCCGTATGTTCGGAAGTTCGATTACATCCGTGACATCGTGACAAGGACGTCTAGCGTTACCTTTGTGAAAATATTCACCGTTTTCTCTGCGTTGCTCGGAAGATGGAACACGGGACGATTTCGTATTCGCTTTGCTCCAATAATTTCACGAAAAGTTCCCGAATACGCGATGCGAGAGGATTTATACGCGAAACGTTATCCGGGACAAGGAGTTTCAGACTCGACTACTACCACGGAACTTCACGAATCGTTGGTAATTTTTAAACGAGAATGAAAAAAGAAGATGTGGCAACGTTTGTTGGGACGCGGAAAGGACCTGGACCGCAGAGGGCTAACGAACCAAAGCGGAGGCAAACTAATCGAAACCTCGTGTCTCAGCAAAGTATCGAAAACACAAGGTATCGGATGTGCTATCGAAGAGATTTGTGTCAGCGCAAGCGCGGCCAATGTGCCGCGCGGCAAGAGTCGCGTTTTCGCGATCAGTCGGCCTAAAGCTGCCGCAGCTCGAACACGCGAAACAGGAGTCGAGTCGGATTGTTTCCTTCGAAAGACACGAGGTTCCGTTCAGTCGCGTCCAATCGTCACCGAAAGTGTCATCGCAGTCCACTCGATAAAGAAAACCCGACGAAACACGTCGTACGATCGCAAGCAAAAAACCTGTAATTGTCGATGCTCTGTCGTTTCCTTTTCGCGAAGGGAGCTCAAAAGAATTTGATCGATTTCGACCAAGCGACGAGCTGTCATGATTTTTGCTTGTAAGCGGACCGTATTGGCTTTACCCGAAGAACCGTGGGACGGAAGACACGATTAATCGTCCGTGGATAGCGGAACAGACGGCTGCGAGAAATTCGGTCGTGCGGAGGCATCTCGAAGAGGACGAGAACGTGACTCGACTCGACTCTACTCAACGCGAAGGGACGAGATCGACGAACTTGCTGCCAGCGGCAGACTTGCCGAGATATACGCGGACACCGTACGTCGTCGCAACGCCGCCAGGAGGAAATCAATGTTCACCGTTCTATCTTTCGACGACGTTAAATTGATACCATTGAAGAGAAACACGCGTAGATCGAAGGAACAAAATAGTCAAACGCGATTCTACGGTTAATATTACGTTCGAAATGTGATTCAACTAAACGTTTTCTGCCATTAGCATCTCGAAGATTAAATCGAAGAATATTCTGTGACGTGAATACACGGCACACTGATAGTTATTAAATCACGCGGACAGATTTGACCGTATCGCGTGTAAAGACATTCGTTTTATCGCGACGAAGCGGCACGGGTTCGCTTAATCCAATCGTGGAACTTTCGATCTAGATATTCCCGCGTGTGGCCTACTAATGTCCTCTGCGTGAAAAGAAGATCGAGCAAGTACAATCGAGGAAACGATGAACCACCGGAGGTTTAACCTTGTTACCATCGAGAAAACGTACAAAGCGCGTGGATCTCTGCCAATTTCCAGTGCGTAAATCGCTTCTGCCCCAGGTAAAACTCGCAGAGGTGCAACGAATTGCTCGCGATACTTCATCGTTACGTTGTCGCGCTCTTTCATTAAGGCGAGCGTACGTACGGAATGAACGGTTTTCAAATGTTTCAAAAGAACGACGCAGTCTGCTTGCAGTCGGTTGATTGAACAATTCATTTCTTTATTCGTGGTAATATCGTCGATGCATCCGGCGCATCCACGCACGGTCGTTAAAATAGGCTGGCGTATATACGAACTTTCACCACTTCATTTTTAAATCTAGGAAGACTCCTCCATCGACCAAGGCGATCACGATCGTAGGTGCTAGATTAAGACGTTTCGGAATAGAGGTGTAATCGTACAGATCATAGCTCGCGTGTTTCGTGTCGCTTGCATGCATGCAACCCAGGACGATTTTATATTTTTTCCTGTCCATCCTCCCCGTTGAAATACCGCCAACTATTCGGAGTTTTGCTCGACCCGTTCGTTCAGATGTATGAGCTTTCGATAGCCAACTCGAACGTCAATTCACCACACCGAACGGTTCGGACGGACCAGTCGTTCATTGTTCCCTATCGGAGCTGCTGACCTATCGATAATACACGATAATTGAGGTAAACGTATTCGATCGTTCAATTTTCGCGAAAATTCACTATTCCATTGATCGTTACTGCCAACCACTGGCTAATATTTTCCGTTTTCGCCGTCGAACTGTAACCAAGAGAGCCGACGAGACAATTTACCATCGAAATCGTTCATTTCCGTGAATAACTGCAAGAGGAAATCGCGTGACGCTTATTTGTCATCTGTAGCGTTCAAATCTGTCGGATTATCGACTCTCCGTATCGATTTGAGTCGTCTCCGTTTCCAGAGCTGCGTCAGCGGTCAGTTTATTCGGAGATTTAGAGTCGTCTGATTCTGTCGAGATTAAATTCCCCGCTAGAACGACGATACGGGACGCGTGGCAATCGAATTTCGCAGCGTCGAAGACGTAACATGTCGCGTTTCAACGCTTTCAAACGTGCACCTGTATTTCTACCGGAGCTCCTTTCGACCAGATATTCGACGATTACCAACAACACCGCGTGGGGCTGCTCCTGGAAATCGATATTCCAAAGTCGAAGCTGCAATTTCGAATACGAGTTTACGTTAAATTTTGTCTCGATTAGGAAATATGAAATATGAAATACTGTGAGCGGTGGTTTTTAGCAATTCTCTCCTGCATCGCGGCTTTAATTCAATTATACCGTATTCGACCGCTCCCATTCTTTCAAGCCGTGCAAAATCGATACTCAGCCGGAGAAGAGAGTCGTCTGAATATTATTGCGCGAGCCCACCGCGGACAGAATCACCATTCGAAGTTAATTTAACCGAAGCTAGTTTAACTAATTAAGCTAAGCAGTCAGGAATTAAGGGGTACGATGCGGTTGAATTTAACGTTTCGATACCGATAATTTCGCGTTCGTCTCGTGTTTCAAAATGGTTTCGCGCTGCTAGCTTGGATTCCCTACGAGTAAAATTTCATCTAGAATTGATCGCGCCGGGTTCGTCGGGTTAACGAAACGCGAAATACGGATCTGGAGTTTAGATCCCCTTTTCATACTCCGGGGCATCATTTCCATCCAAGGAACAGAAAAAAAATGTTCGACCTCGGCCCCAATTTTCGAGGGATCCACCCTTGTATCGAATAAATCACCTGGCCGCGTCATCTTTTCAACGATTTCGACACGAAAACTAGCAGAATATCGAAAGAAGAGCTTACATAAATTTCGTCAGGGGACAAGGAAAAGAACGTCGTCGAATATCGAGTCCCGTTGCTCTTTTACGGATATTATTTCATTTCGCGAATCTACAATTCCAGCAAAGAAGCTGGTATGATTGATTTCAGTTTCGTTATTTTCCGAAAATTTTACGTCCTCTGTCGAAAAAAATGCTCAATACACGTGCAGCGTAATTGGATCGGAAAATGGTCGCGATACTATTAATTTTTAAACCGAGTATATGTACGTAACTGTGTAAATTCGAAACTTTTTTACAAGTTTTCATTCATCTCCAATTCAAATGTAACTCTGTAGCTCCGTGCGTATAAAATTCAGCCTTTTTGCGTTTCGTGTAAAACAATAGTCGGCTGGGGGTAAACAAAAAGAAACAATAACTAAGTCGCGGGAGTTGAATTTCCCTTAGACTACAACGGAGTTTGCGCCAACTATGCAAAGGTGAAACGAAATGGTAGTCGAACGTAATTAGGACGAGATACCCTCTTGGAATCGCGAAAGACCCTCAAATTTGGAAGCTAAGCCTAACGGCCTCGGATAAGGGAGCAAAGTTTCACCCTCGTTCCTGCGGCGATCGCAGAATTCTCGTCGAGAAAATTTACCGTCTTTCCAACTTCCGAACGTGTACAGCTTTAATCCGACCATTAAGAAAATTCGATGTAATGTATAACACCTCGCTTCATTTAATAACTTGGCGACCATGGAAGCTCAAAGAGAGGAAATGTTGCCTTTGACATAGTAGAAAAGCTTGTACTAATTGAACTTGTGCTAATGGAACTGCCTTGCAGACGCTGGAGTAACCGTAATTCCTCTGGAATCGTTGCAAACTTATCGTTAGTAATGACTTGGAGCTTAATCGTACATCTGAAATTCACTTTCAAAGCGGCGAATACATATCGACTTGATATGCTTCGGACGAGGGAACAAACGAAATTAAAGTTCATTATTTACTTATTCGTGTCTTCTCTTTTTTGAGAATGTTTTTAAAATTTGAAACATGGCTTACTTGAAACTGAGAATTGATTCAATATTAATTTGTAGGAGTACGTGCAAGCTTGGCTACGAACATAGAAGGTATTTCCAACGATTGGTCGAACCGATAAGTAAACCTTGACACGTCATCGCCATTTCGATGAAATTGCTGTACCGAAGAATAAGAAACGGCAAACCAATTCGATCGTAGAACAAACTTATTACGGGATATCTCGAAAAGCGACGAGCGAACATTTTTCATCGCAACCTCGGTTACAGCCACTAACGGTTTCCTTCGCTTTCGAAAAGAATGTGCCATCGCTTCGTCTACCGTGTTCTGTTAAAATCCCTTAATTAATCGGCGACAAGTGAATTTCACAGGTCGTTCGCGTTCGCGTCCACGTATATGGGTCAGTTGTATTTTTCATCGCGGGAATAGTTTGTGAAATAAACCAGCGCTGGGGCGAGGCTGGTAGTTGGTAAATAAAACAGTATTTCCATTCTTGTGGTTACGAGCCAGAGCAGGGAGTACACGAGGTGGTGAAATATACAGGATGGGTCGTTCGAGACGGGTCGTAGAAGGGTTAAAACTGTAGTAAAAGTAATTAATCGAGATCCGACATGTATGTGGAGCAGAGGATTCATTTGGTTTCTTAAATATTTCATAATAGGGGAACGACATTCTCGCCAAAGGTTTCCTTTCAACGTCGAGAATGTCAGCATCCTGGCGTCGGCATGTTGGAATTTCAGGTCATTCGTATACGAGAAAGTTCGTAAATGACGCGTACGGTGAATAATCGCAAAACCTACCTACTACGTATCGCGAACGTGCAAGTTTTGCTACGATTACGTTTCACGTTTAAATAAAACGAAATCGACTCTATTTCTCGTTGGCGAAATCAGACGCGTTAATTAAGCTTCGTCGAACTTTAGTCGATTCGATTCGAGTAAAGGATAGGCAGCCGGATAAGGAGCTAGCGTGTTCTCCTAAACAAAATTCGACTCGCGATGCTAACAATCGAAACGGAAATTTGCCACGCATAGTTTTGTTTTCTTTAGAAGCTATCGAATTTGGTTTAGGAGCACGTTCGACTCCCTTATCTGGCTGTAATATTTTAATTGATTCCGCTTTTGGGAGCATTTGCGGGCGCAGCTTCCGTAACCAACTCGGGGTGCTCGAGGAACGAGACCTAGAACCAATTCCGTACATGTAGCTGTTCGAGTGCCAACGTTTCAGGGGTAAGTGCACTATAAACGTGTATTCGTATGTACATGGTTTACGAACCTGCTATCCGAGCTGCTCGAGAAATCATGCAAGTCTAAATGTCCCCCAGATCTTCGCGACCTACTTTCCCGCGATTCGGTACCGTAACAAGAAAACGAGCCTGGTGAGATAGAACGTTCGAAGTGACGTAACGTGGTAAATGGTTAATCGAGTTTCCCTTAATATCGCCGGAAGAGGTACACGTTTTTAGTTTGTATTTCGAACAACTTTTGGTTGAAATTTGAATGGACTGTGCCGATAACGGATATCGGTCGAACGCAACGCGGAAAGGTGTATGCGCGATCAAAGTCTCGGAAAGTTGGAGAGCCGTAGTCGGAGCAGATGGAGCTATTCGAGCGAGCCGAAGGGATGGTAGACAAGAGGAACGGAAGTTGCGAGATGTGGACCGATGGCCATGTACGATATAATAGAACCGTGCAGGCTTTTCCGCGAGTGGAAGAGGGAAGAGGACTGAAGCCGCGACAGCAGATAAACGAGAGCCAGCGTTCGTTCGGGATGTTGGTGCGCGTCCTGTGTTCGTTTTCATTCTCTGCTCTCGGCCTGCGTCGTCTCGCTTTCGCGTCCGGTTCGATTTCCTTTTTTCAAACCGGCTGGTCACGCGGAAATGGAATTGGCCGGTTCGTAACGTCCCAATGACTACCGCGGATGCTCACCGCGACGATAGCGCGATATCGCATCACCGAATCGCGTAATCGATACGATACAAAACGCGTCGATGAAAAGGTTGCTAGAATCGAGGGAAAATTGGAAGAACTTATCAGGGGATAAAAAGCGTAGCTAATTGTTCTCACGGCGCGACGGATGGAAAGGAAACGCCGAGAGCGGAAAGTACGAGGGTAAAAATGGAGCCATCCGTCTTTTCTATGTTATACTTTGCGCGTTGATTCGCCACTGCTTCATTCAACGTCCGTCTCTTCCGCTGACATCGATTAATTAACGCGATCTTGACCTGCGCTTTCAAATCTCTACGGTACGTTGTTCCTTACGGCTAAAAAGTTTGGCTGTCTTTAACTAGATGGATATTGATTTCACGCTCTCAAAAATCGAGCACGTAGCCGCGATTTTCCAATTTTTTCAGTGCTCTATCGGTATTCACGGATGAGAGATCGCGAGTACGAGGAAATAGGATTTATTCGAACGAATATCTGCGATTGATTGTTCCGAGTCAGTGACCTTTCGTATTATTCGTTCTGCAGATTTCTTTGAACCCATTGAAAAGGACCAAGTTTTCCGATCGAGAACACGTTTCCGCGATGTCGACTACTCGGAAATTCGCCTAAAACTTGCTATATTTTCTCGGAATAGAATCTCGGTCACGAATTCGCTAGATACGTTCAAGAGATGATTACGCCGGGCGCGGCGTGCTCGAGTCTGAACGATCACGTTGCGTTTTACAACTCACGCTCGGCTGATCACCTTTCATCCGAAAATATGCCAACGGGGGGTGCGCTTTAATGTTCGCGAGCAAAAAATACGAATCCCCGATTAATTGGATCCGAAATACAGATCGGATCGTGAAATCCAGAGGCGGAATATCATCGACTGATTCTATAAACTTGTCCCAGTTTCCGGAATCACCCTGTATATTCCACTCCCATTTTTTTTTTCTAGTTATTATGCTCGCGTTAACCCAGTTTCCGTGCCCGTTCCAACGTATTTGGCAAATCAGAATCGTATTAACGCGATAAACCAGTACGTACTCTCTTATCGTAAAGTAGCTACTCGGAGGAAAATCGGGAATCGTTGCAGATCTTGCTTTCACTCTCGTTTCGTTCCTATCTTGCCGTCCCTGTTTCAGAAAAATCGACCTCGATGCCTTTGCGAAATTAATTTCCACCGTTTTCTGAACTATCCAGATGTGATATTCTATGGTAAAGCTGTTGGTCTAAAGAAACGAATAGGGAAGGAAAAAAAAAGAAAAGTTTCATTGTTCCGAGTTGAACGACTCGATCCCATCGAGCAACACTGAATTTTGAGAACAATTGCTAAGGTGACGCGTCCGCGCAGTCTGTTAATTGCAATTGCACGAGCAAGACTGGGACAAAGGACACGACGAGAAGAAAAAAAGGCAAACAACGAAAGGAGAACTGTCGTAGGTCGAGAGAAGAAACAGGGAAAGAGGAACTTGGAAGATCTTATGGTAACAATAGGGTAAAAGTAGGATGAACTTCTTGATTCGCAAAAAATTACGTTACTTTGATTAAATGATATTTATGCTACGAGCTAAGAGAACTCACTTGAAAACCGTAACAATTTTTATAAGTTTCCTTTGTAAAAACAGTCTTTTAATTCTCCAGAACGAAGTTATGCACCCTTTGGCAACTGCTGCTCATACAAATTAAGCAACCGCAATTCTATCGCGTTTACGTTACAATTACGAACTTTCACAGTTTCCACTTTTGAAATATTAAGTTTCTTGCGTTAAACCGACGACTACTAAACGATCCTACCGCAAAGAATTAAATAAATAACTCTTCGAAGCGATAAACTTCGAAGAAGCTACGAAAGCCAAGACAAGTTCCGCGAGTGCTTTTTTGTCGGGTTTGCCAACTTTTCTGCGCGTGGACGAGAAGTTACAGTTAAAGTTACACCCACCCGTGAAACCGAAAACGCATTTAGGGTATCGATGACACGCTACGTTGTCGGTCGTCGAAAGTTTTAACTCCAAAACAACAATTAACGAATCCCGCGATGCATTCAGGATAGAAAGCGTTGGTAAAATTCGTTACGGAGCAGCAGAGCTGAAAGGTAATTAATTAGGTACAAAATTTAATCGAGGTTGTCAAGGTCGCGCTCGTTAAACAGTGTTACGCGAAATGCCTAATTTTGAACAATTTGTCGGGTAAACAGCGCATAATTGATGGAAAATTAAACGGAACATCGAAGGTAAAGTGCTTAGTTAGTCGCAAGCTCGTATCATACGCGCGGAGAATGTAATCGGGAATCGAATATTCTGGTTAATGGAACAAAAATTCATATGATTTTGCGATATCGTCTAGGTACGTAAATAAATGACGTCCAAAGCAATTATCGCGCGATGCGCGAAAGCCAATCGGAACGTTAAATGTTTACCGTGAAAAAACATTCGTATACGAAGAACAGCTGAAAAATATTGGGTTTCGACGCGATGTCGCAAACGGACGAAGGATAAATCGCTCGGATATTCTTTCGTTATTTCGCAGTAGGTTTAATCAAACGTGTAAAGTTTGTTGCTTTTTTCAACCGGTCGAATTATTCTTCCAAGAATAGTATTCAATTTCATCGAGCGGTTGGCAGTCTGTTTTGAAACTCAGGATTCGCATGCTTCGGCTCCCTCGCAAATCGAATAAACTGCTGTACATCGCGGCTGGTAAATTTATCGGGGCAATTTAGAGTCGAATCCGAATAATCTCTTCGCGAGTATTCCCAGACGGAACTGATCGGGCATTGTTCTCAACTTTGTCGGAATATTATGCGATTAATATTCGTACCCTTGTTTATCCATGTTTCGCGATGCTTATGAAAGTCAATGCTGATTCACGAGAACGTGCAACTCTCGATACAAGGTATACTTCCACTTCCACTGTATGGTCAAGCATTGCACGGAATCCCGTATCCGGAATCCGTATCTCGGTTCGTTAAAATGAACGCGACGAACCTAAACTCATTCTCTGGAACGTAGTTTGGTTCGTTTTCGTGAACGTATACGATACCCATCATCGCGGCGACCATAAAAACGAATCCATTAAGCTTTAGTTGAAGCCATTACTCGCCTCGATCCTATTATCGTTCCTAAAGTACCCTCCACCGGTTTACCTTTCTCTATTATCGCGACACTTTTAATTCACAGGATCACGACGCGTTAAAAATTGACGCGATTACTTTATAATCGATCCCTCCCACGAGTCTCCGAATTAAATTATAGGATTTAAAATCTTCTGGACAAGAATGGTAAACGTATTTATAAACGTTCCATTTCATGTTTCTCGGGAGCTATACGAAATACAGTAGAAGAAGTGGACACCTTCGGAAGTTTTAAATTAATTTAAATTAAAAGGTACATCCGCAGAAGCCGAGTGAGAGATACAAGAGATTTTGTCGGTGGCATCAAAGTTAATTTCGTTCTCTCGACTGTCTCGGAATTTAATACTCTCGACAAATGCATTCCACCCTAACGATATTTCTCCCGGCAACTTTATTTCGAGTCTGAGAATAACTGAAAAGAATATTACGGTCCCAGCTCTCGGACGGAAATACTGCTCGACAGATTTCAATTGAAACATCTTGAAAACATTGAAGTGTTTTTTACTCGTGTGCTTATATTTATATTTCGTTCTATACAGCAGGTATGTAGATTGTAAGTTTTGTACGACTCGCGACTCGTTGACGAGAACGACGGGAGCGGGATGTTTTGGTCCACGAACCGAATATTTGATTTCGAATGCGAGTCGTGTCTGAAATAGAAGGGATTAAACGGAAATTGGAATTCCAATGATTGGGAATTACATCAGCATTCACTGACCATGGAGAATTAAATATTATGATCACGATTGGAAACGTGATACGATTTGAGAGAATTTTGGAAACGGCACACCGCTATCGGAGATGAAATGATGCATCTCGTTCAGAAATTTACGAAAAAAACGATCGACTAATGGTCGAGAATATACTGCTAAGCGCTAGTCGTAAAAGGAAAGATGCCTAGTTCCATTTCGAAATGAAGTAAATGAATTATACCTTGTAGCGTGTGCTATCGTCGATTCATTTCGTCAGAGCTGCGAGCATTATTCAACTATCGCGTTCAATCACCAATCGATGGGTCGATAATCGGAGATAATTATTCGCATACTCGCTGGATTATTCAGTGGATGAACAATCCGATACGATGATCAGGCAATAATACCGGTTGCATTGAAAGCACGTAGCGGCCGAGGTACTATTCAAAATTAATAAAGTTTTATGACCGAGCATCGATATTCGAAACGCATTCTTCGTAAACTGCCGTTCTACTTTTCACGTACTAGTAGTTTAGAATATAACGCTATTTACGATCAAATGAATAAAGTTCTCGAACTGAATGCGCATACGATCGATCAGGCCAGCCCAGTTTCTATTTCTACACATTTTCGTTCGATTTAGTCCTATGTTCAATTTAATACGTTATCCTATTTAATCATTTTCTCATGGTACCGAAAGATGATCAAAGAAGCGACGAAGAAATTGATCGAAGTTCGTTAAACAAGGGCGCAAACTGAAAATTACGCAAGCTCGAAAGACTGAGCGGAGAGCTATTAAAACCATTAACACCCTAATGGTTACGGGAAGGTTTCCACTTTCCACGAGGTCATCTAACGGATCCAAGGTTTATGGACAGTCTCCGAAAATTACGACGGTACACGTGAGACGCGTTGTGTACACGCTACATCGTACAGTGCACACTGCCGAGAAAATTGCGTCTACATATCACGTTAGGAGACGTATATCAAGCACGAAACAAGCAAAACAGTTCTAGACTCCTCCCTAAAGCCATTTTTACCGCGAACATTCGAAAGCTGGAACGAAATACTCGTTGGAATTTTCCTCAAAAAATATCCAACTCATCGCTGTAACACTCCCGGTGGAAAATACCACTGTTTCGAAAAGCTGTGGCTTGACGAACTCGAAAAACATATTCCAAGTGATTATAGCGATCCTTTCGACAGCTTCCTCGCGTAATCTTCGATCGTGCTCGAAAAGGATCGCGGCGTTATCCTTTGGATCAACGAGAGGTCCACCGAAACCTCCGATCCGCATTTGACCACAGAGACAACGTAGCAGGCGTTATGCATTATTAAACAAGTGTCGCGGTGACTTTCGAGGAGAAAAAACCGATCGAGGGATACCGAGAACCCTTTGTTCTGCATTTTATTTTCCTGTCTGGAATAAATTTGCTTCCGACACCGACATCGACGCTGACAGCTTGATGTTCACCACGCTGGAAAGGATGCGATCTTCAACATTTACGGAACGGTGTTCGTTACGCGAGTGGATACAAAAGAAAACAAAAAATATACACCCGCGCGAGTAGATACAAGTGGTAAATATCGTTTACCGTCTAGCGAGAGTATGGCTTGTTTCGTGCTTTCTGTTTATTGGTTAAGACGCGACTCGGAACTACTCCGTGCTAAATCCGAGTTGGAGTTCCGACAGAGTTGGAGGCTTGTGTACGCTAGTCCCAGCGTTCAAATTACGTCCCCAAGATCGGCGTGTGTGATTCATGGACACGGATTTGTGTAATGGAATTCCGAACAGATATACCACGTTGTCCTATACAAGATGCTGCATATGCAGGATCAGACTCTATCGGATATCCAAATAGATTCTGACCATTTGCCTTTTAGAGTCCCCTTCGGTTTTCCGGTAAACCCCGATACATGGATGAAATATTATTGGAAATATTCCTACTTCTTTTCTTTCGTTTTTTCGTTATAATACGAAAATATACCTAAACCCGGATACTTAAAATTGGGCTGTTTCCGTATCTCTATCCCTCGATATTTCGAACGTGATCGAACGCGACCGTAATACCTCTAACTGTGATTTCTTTCGTGAACGAACGGAAAATGCGCCGAGACAAGGACGATTCTCTTTACCGAGAGATCGATCCAGTTCCAGCGTTGTCAGCAATGTCGACTATATTTCACGAGACACCAGCAACGTCCATGCAAAAAAGAAGGATTCGATTTCCAGCTTTCTCCCGAGTAGGAAACCTTTAACAACACGAACACGGACTGCCAATGAAGTTCCTTCTTCTTAGAAATAGTTAAGCGCGGCAGAAATTCAAAGACAGAATTTTTTCGATTATGTCTCTCGAAATCACGACTCGCCGACAATTGAAAAACTTATCGCTCCTCGAATAAGACGAATACTTCCTGCAGGACCTATAGCTCGCTAAGGCTCTCGTGAGAAATACGAGCGCGTCGTGCCGAGACGTCGTTTACTCTACGAAAGCTCGCCATTAGTGGCCGAGCACCGCGAAAAGCTTATCGCGATTACCTTACTCGAGTATTCACACCGGGATCCGAGCCGACCATGACGTTTGCGGCTCGAGCGCCATGGCTGCAGGTGAATCTGACAAGACAGAGACAAAGGATGATCTCGTTGGCACGGATACGATACGCCAATCCCACGTCTGTATACACCGACTATGATCGAAAACGTGCCTGCGGTTGTTGTTCCTCGCCGTGGATCGATAGCATTTGACTCTTTTAATTTACGTCATTCGCGAATACCTATCGAAATTGCCAACGTTTTACGCACGCTGATATTCTTACCGAGTTTACTGTTTTTACTGTTCGAGATGAATAATAAGGAAACTCTAATTCTACTTTTCGATCGTGTCGCATAGTGTCAACGTATGTGCGTGCCGATAGCATTTGGAGGTTTTGCTCATCAACCAAAGAAGGAATAAAATGGTAAATTAACGAGGTAATGACAAGGATATCGACAACGATGCAACGAGAACGCAACGTGATACACGGCTCGAATATCAATCGCATTCAGAGCGAGATTAAGTAATTCCTTTCATGTTTTACATCACCTTCCGTAAACGTTTTTGACTGATTATATCGTAGAGCGTTCCTTTAATTCCACTACGAACAATGTTCACCGTAACGACCGCTTGTTTAATTAAAAACTTTCGTTCGATTAATCGTCCAAAAAGATTGAAAACTTACCGCCACCGCGCTTCATTTGAGACGACACCGTTGATCCGTGGTATCGTTATCGAAACACCTCAACCGTTAACTTCGTTTTATGGCCGCCTTCGATAATCCCTCGATTACCCCAGTCTGCTCGCGTACGCCTCGTTTGGGGAGAAATGATTCGATTAATCTTCGTCCGGTCGACAATTTTCTTTAAGACAGTTTAAGGTATTACACTCACCCGATCGATACTCGAGGATTCCGATCGTTCTTTATACGGGATTTGTATTAATTCCCTTTCAACTTCTCCATTAATTCCTTCCCAATTTGCGGTATGATCCTCAAGCTATTTCCATTTTTACCTATCCGTCTCTCTATAGGTAAAGTAGTCGTAACAGGAACGAGACAGGGTAGGTCTCGAATAGAGAAAATTGTTTGCTGCTTCGGAGCTGCCTCTTTGAGGTACGGTAACAGCTTCTCTCCATCGGAGTTCAGCTTCCCAGGGGGCTCGTGTTCGACCAGGCTCTGCCCGTGTCGAGCGAGGACACGTATGTAGGACAATTTATAGAGGCAATATTCGGCGAGCTGGTAGCACAAAAAGTAGACGAGGGCTAAATGGAAGGTGAAAGTACGGATATTTGACGCGTCTCGGAAACGAAACGTTCGGTTCCTCCGAGTAGCATCGAAGGCTAACGAGAAACCTCCGTTTCGTTGACTGGAGATTAAATACCTTTACTTATCGTTACCGGAATTACCCTCGATTCGAATGAAATTATTAGATTGCGTTTCAATTGTCTTTCTTTTTAGCTGCCAATACGCCAATGTTTCCAACTGTTTCTCGACTAAAATAAAATAAAATAAAATTAGAATTTTTGTCGTATATAATAAATACATGATTTCAAAGTACTTAGAATATCAGATATTTGTCTATTTACCAAAATTAAAATAATCCTCCGCGGGGAATAAAGAGAGAAAATCGTACGAGTTTCCGCGGAGACAAACGTTTCCACCCTTTCTCGATATTCGCATCAGCGCGAGCGTGTCATTATTGCTTTTCTAACAGCGAAAAAGAGAAAGGGAAAGGAGAATGGAGGCTGCGGAACAAGTGTCGCAGAGATAAAGGACAGTTTTCGTTTCGAGCAGTTGAAAAGTCAATTCTCGCGACGTATTGTAGGTCTGCGAGCTTTCCGCTAATACGCTTATACTTTCTTCTTGTGAAAGGGGATCGCGAGTGAAAAGAATGCTTCAAGCTCTGTGCTACGCGATATTTGATTTTGGTATAAAGCAAACAAAAGTCACCAGCCCGCGAAAGACAGGCCGAGAAGTTAAATTATCACCATCGAAGGTGATTTCAAAGCAAAAGTCTAGAATTTGCGATTTCTCTTCTGTTCCAGGTCAGGAGAAGTATGTCGGCCGACGTGAGGGCGGGACGCCCAACGATGCCGACGATTCCGCAGACAAGGAGAACGATTTTAGTGTATCCAACAGGTGAGATTACACGTCTTGCTTGTTTCGTATACGTTTATGCATAATTTGCAATTAACATTCTATTCAAGCCCGCACCGACATCGACATCGGACAAATTGACTCCGTAAAGTGATATGAAACGAGCATTAGTTTATTACAGTGTAGTTTCCGCTTCTCGGACATCTCTCTTGTAATATCGGTAAACATAAAACGCTGATCATAGAAAATAAACTACGGTGATTCAACGTTGTACACTATGTGTGCGCGAAATATAAATTACGATCCAGCTTGGATCCGATGTTACGGTGTAAATCTTGATTCAATAGACGCTACTGGGCGATAACTGAAACGCGAGTCTCATTAAAACCTCGTGCTGCTTATCGTTACGCTAATAACAAGTTGAGCTCGCGTATCAACTTAATTCAGCAGCAGCTATTGTCTGCGTTGGAGTATAATATATGCTCTAATTGTACTTTTAAATGCGTAAATGTTCGCTTGTTTGTTCGCTCCAAGATTCGGTATTGCTATTCAACGCTGAAACTTGTTGGTTGCACGAAGTGACAGCTAACCACGTCACTTATTCGCCGTTTCGGCTAGTTTGTTTAACAAGTTAAGCTCGCAGAAATCGTCTCGAGGACGAGAATAATACTGCTTCGTTAAGAGCCTAGTTACAAATCGGGCGAATTTGGCGTCTATCCAACGCAACCTAGAGAAATAATAGACCATACTACGTTCGCGTATACTATTCGATCGATACAGGTATATTCGAGATTAACCGAACAAGTTTGAAGTTCGAAGTTCCAAAAGTCTGACGAACAATTTTCGAAGTTTTCCTTAATTGATCAAATCCATTATCATTTTATAAAAATCAGTCTATTTTCTCAGTGACTCCGGAGAGCATCATCATTCCGATAGTATCGTGCATTCTCGGTTTCCCATTATTGGCATTGATGGTCATCTGTTGCTTAAGAAGAAGAGCGAAGCTCGCAAGAGAACGAGCCAGAAGAAGAAATTGTGATTTGGATCACGGTGCCCTCAGTCTCGTTCGTTTCAGCCCTGTTCATCGTTTAGGTGAGTTTCATCGAAAAATTCGGCCGTCCTCCGTACTCTTATCCTTTAAATCTACTTTCCACTTCCGTTCTTCAACGCGTCACGAAGGCACACTGACACTTGGATTTAACGAAAAATGGATGCACTTCTTCGGTACTCGTTGTCCACTGTATTTAATCCGCGTTAGAAAAATGTTGAGAGGAGTTTCTCGGCAGATTTCTTTCTATTGCATTCAGCAAATATTAAAAGGCTCGTTTCGTTCTTCCGTTGAAAAAGATAGAGTTCATCGCGGTGCAGTGCTATTGTTAAATTCGTAATTAAATCGTACGGATCTTTAAGTGAAATGTTTTCATGTGCGCACACATCATATAACGAAAATGGAACGAGGTCACGGAACATTTGTATTTTAGAACCGCCCTCCTCCAGCCAGCCTCTTTACAGCTATATCGTAGCTTCCGTGGTCGCTTTTCTACCTAGAAACATCGAATGCACGCGCACACCTATACAGTCCTTGCACTGTAGCAAATGAAACATACATTTACGCTTACGTTTTCAAACTCACTGAGAACAGACATCGATATACAGAGTGTCACACATCTAACTTTTATTCAACGAATAACTGTTAATAAACAGTTGTTTCCCTTTTACTTGGTATCTAAGTAATTTCATCTAGGTAAGAATTTACCAATTTCTGGCATGATGCACTGCTGGTTAAGGACGGTACTATATAGAGAAACTGTGTACAGCGAGCCTAGATTTACGGGCCATGAAACTTGACGAATAGCGTCCCTTTGGTCGGTGGTAAATTCTAGTATCGATGTGCATTTGTACTCCGAAAATTAATCAATTTCGCTGGAAAAGTGTACAAACTGAAATATACAATATATCCATTATTTTATCATCCCGTCAAGCGCAGCGCCTAAAGAGGATTTAGGTAAAACTTTTTATCAGTTTGATTATTGCCTGATTTCGTCTCTAGAGACGTTAGGAGTTTATCGTAATCGCTGCGGTTCTTTAATGCGCAATTACTCGCTGTTGCCGCTTATGCCGTATAGCTGAAATACAATTTTATTCAAGTTTCGTCGAAAGCTGATAAAGACGCGCCATTTGAATGCGTGAAATGAATTAACAAGGATGAGAAGAATTTGTCGCAGTACCGCAAAATTTTGGGTATTTGTAAGCTGTGCAGAAACGCATTTATGAGACATTTCCTCGCTGGTATATAGCCTCGCCACAGATATTTAAGTATTATAATTTTACGCCAAACGTATCGTGAAACTTTGCTATATCTTGATATGGCTCTCGATGCGGAAGCATGAATACATTATTTAATAATTCGTAATTCGCATGTAACCGATCTTCGAGCACTTGTTCTGTAAACGTAGCGTAGCGATGCATTGAAACGGATCTTGCATACAACAACTGTATTTTAACGATTATCCGATTGAAGGATAAAATTTGAAACGCGTAATGATATCATTAGAATGCATTTAGTCGATCACACTATTCTATTGCACACTTTGATTCGCAGACTTGCTAGTGGACATTTATCGAACGGAACGCTTATTACTCGATTTTCTTTGAAGTAATTAGACGTTAGTTTCGTGGTGTAATCAAATTTTGTTTGTCTGCAACAGCTGGGATCGATCGTTCGACGAGAGCGGTATCATTCCGGAGCGATCGAGGATCTAGAGCCTTCTCATCGCTGGATCTAGACACCGTGGTTGAAGAGAGGTCGGATCCTGAACAGAGCACCGCACTGGAACTCAGTAGTCCAGATTAACATCTAACTCTGGTACCGCCAAGGTCGGATTTCTGTTCGCCCTCTCCATCTCATTGTCAGACGCTATGCCACAAACTAGATTCGATAAAGAATCTTTTTCTTTATTCTTCTGGCTGGAAAATATTAGCAAAGAACTATACGGAAAATCACAGACGAGGTTTAGATTTTATATTAACCTATAATTTTATTTCAAAGGTCTTCTCGACCATCGACGACGGCGGTACCATTACCGGTAGACCACAATCCACTTTGGACGACTTTGACATACGCTAACGCCATGACTTCTGCTCTGGAAGATACCTAGCAGGAGGTTGCAGAGGGCGGTTATATAGAATCTCTCGTCCTCGACTTGCCCATCATCTACTAAAAATCTTCGAATGAAGACATCTATTACGAGAAGTCGACATACAAGATTTATCGCAATCAACTTGACGATCGCAAAAAGTGCCATAATACAAACTGATTATAAATGATATAGACATTATAAACGGAGATACAAAACTTTATAAACAAATTTCGCACGCGTAACAGAAATTAACGTCTACTAAATTTTTTACTGACATAATTGTACAGCACGTTATATGAACATACTGCTTTTTACATGACAATTATTTAACAGAACAACGCACGTATATGCGAAGGATGTACCAGTGTAAATAAAAATTTGTTAACATCGTGTACAAATAAAGATCAAAATGTATAAATAAAGCATATAAACCATCGTGTTGGATATGCAAACAACTATCCTATTTTGAAAAAACAACTCATATTTTTATGTATCTTACGACTAATTTGCGCAATATTGATAGTAAAAAGTAGTCTGTAAATACATATCAGGTATGAAATGTTCATAATGATCGATGTTTCTTTTAGAATTTGTAAACTGAATAACAGTTTAATCGTGTTAAAATATTAATAACGAAGCACAATAAGTTCCTCAAGGGAAGGGTATGCAATGGAATATCACTTTGTATAATTTCATCTATGTTTAACAGCTACAAATCGGAATTCATAATTATCCCGTTGGCATCCGGCTTTCGTTGTTTTTAATGCAATAGAGTAGACGATGCACGATATACACGCAAGTCTTATATGATAAATGACTCTACTCCGTAATATTTGATATATTACATTTAAAACCCAGGCATCACCCGCCCCTTTTTAGTAGCTTTTTTTAATTTATTTAATTTCTTATCTTTTTTTCGTTTCATTATATTTTCTTGACGTTTTTCTTGCCTTTCTCGAATACCTTTCTGCACGTTTTCTAACCTAGACTCCCATTTCTTAGCGCTATGTTTCTTTTTTTGTTCATTTCTGTTTATCGTTCGTTTTAATAAGTCAGGATCGTCTTTCACCTATAACAGAATAACAATACAAGATTTTAAACATACTGTTAAAGTTATAAACGATACAACAAATGAATTTAAATATTTCTTTGCTTACTTTGTTACCACTGGCTTTTGCTAAAACCGATTTCCATGCTTCTTTTTCTTTAATTTCTTCAACTTTTTCTTTTTCACCTGATTGCTCCATTATCTTCAATTTTTCTTTTTTCTGTTTCAACTGAAGTAAAACTTTTTTGGGATCTTTTTCAGACTTGGGTGGTTTCTTTTTAGTTCCAATTTCAGAAAAGTCAAACTTACTGAATACCATTTTGCCTTCCGAATTAAATATGGGCTTTGGTCTCGGAATTTTTGGCATTTCCCCATCTTCTTTTTTAATTTTAGATAAACCTGTTGCATTTTGTTCTATTTTAATTAATTTCTTTCGCAATAAACGCTCTTCTCTCTTAGACATCTTTTTCATTTTGTTTTTCAAATTTTTCTTTAACTGTTTGCCTTTATAACCTAGCCTTTTTACATTTTTTAATCCTTCAAGTTTAGCATGTAGTTCTTCAAAGGTGTTCGCTCGTTTCGCTTTTGTACTCGAATTTGTGAAAACTTCAGCTGTAAAACAATAAAAATGACGAAACTAACCCTAAACAGATATGTTTATATTTATAGTATATGTAATTATCAACGAATATAAACCTTTTGACGTAGCTTTTACATTCTGCGTTGCTAACTTATCTTGTTCGTCTGAAACTAATAAGATTTCAACTTTTATCATTATTGAAAATATCATAAATATTTCTAAGGTTAGGTATTCTATTATATTTTACCCAATTTAGATACAGGCAAAGGGGTTTTTGAAAATATTTGTACAATAAATTCGTTTTCTTTTTGTAGTAATTGCTTGACAAAACTCTTGTCAAATGGTTTTGACATTTTTAACTGCATATTCCTTACAACACACGTGTACGATATACAAATGTAAATAAAACACAGCGTCACGAGTCACGAAACAGCAGACAACGAACACGTTTTCAAACTTCAAAAATTAGTTACTTTTACGTACAGGTTAGAAATTGTTTTCTACTGCGCAAACTCGTAAAGGAAAGTGTTCAAGACTATAATAATTTTGAAGTGTAGTTTTTTATTTGTTACAAAGGTCATTTTTATTATTTCATATTATTCATACGTAGTTAACGGCTAAACTTTAATTATAAATAGACGTTAAAAATGTTTTAATTATCAATTATCTTGACGGATACCACTATTACAGAGTATCCCTAATATGTTATTTAACAATAATTCAAACACAATTAAATAATTAGCATCGAGTATTACAAATTCTTAAAACATATATGTTACAGAATATAGAGATAATTAAAACGGTGCTACTGTATACTATAGAAACATCGTTTACATTAAGCACTACAACATTACAACATTACATTACAAGAGACTCCAATAGTAATTTTTGTGCTCTTAAAACGATAAGATTCTTTCCAAGCAGGACTTTTCTATCAAATTCTTTCTCAGTGGCTAATGCTTCTTCGTTTGATTTGAAATAAACATGGCAATATCTTATGCTCGTTTTTGGTATCATCAACATAAGCGACACAGATATTGGATTATATTTTTCAAAAAGATGTAATATATAATGTATTCCTAAATTTGGATGGATATTAGCAACAACTACTTCTTGGGCAGGTATAGTTGTCTCATTGTTGGACAAGAAACCTTCATTATTATACGTTGTATGTTTTTGGTTGTTACAAATCAGCTGTGGAATTTCATCTTCTTCATACGACTCAACACCCTTTGAAACTTTATGATTCCGAGATAATGCATACTTGTGGGAACATTTGCTATTGACAATGCTTCTCATCGAACTAATGCTAACATCAGAGGAATCGGTTGTACTGCTTCCTTCCTTATGTTCCATTTTGTTTCTAAATTTATGTTCGTTTCCATATTGTAATTGTTTGTTGGACTCACATACAAAATGATTTTGATCATTCCTCTCTTTATTCTGTTTATGTATGGTTTTCTTTGCTGGCTGTTGTTTAAGTATTTTATTCTTATGTGGTAAAATTCTTATGAACTTATGATTTTTTAGACCTTCGATGCAAAGTTTAACCTCTTCTAAATTTCCATATCTTACAAAACACAATCCATGAGTGTTTCTACGATTATCTAAAGACAGAACAAAACCATAAGCAGAAAATATTTGGTCAAGTTCCCTTAACGATATTCCTTTGTCATTAGGAAAATGTATAACATAAGAACCATCTGATTTTTTATCATAATATTGTTCTATATTCATATTCGAATAAAGTATTTCAAATATATCACAATACGGAGTTTCTTTATTTTTGTTGTGTAGTTTTGTTTGCAGTCTTTATATTACAGTTATTGGTTATATTACTGTGAACACGATGAAGATTTGAATATATCAAGGTATTCAGCAAATTTCAATGTACAAATTTTCAATAAATACGTCATAAAATCGACATTGTAAAAATATAAATGTGAACCCTCAAACTTGAAGTAGGGACACAACGTATAAACAACACGATGGTAACTTTGAAGCGAGGTTAGATTCGGTGAGGTTTAAACCAGGTCTAGAATACATATTGAACAAAAGCGTAGTGTTGTATCGAACAAGTGATAGACAACAGTGAAGAAATTGTTAAAAACAAATGTTAAAGTTCATTTTCGATCGAATCTCTTTTTTATCGTACATCAGTTACTTGGCTATGACTCGACGAGAATATTCCAAGAAAAAGTAATAACTCCTTAACTTGTTATTCTGAAAAAATAAGCAATCATTGAAACGATTAAAATTCCAAATATAAAGTAATTTAAATATCGAGTTATAGAGCAATTAAATTTGAAAATGATTCAAAATTCCGATTGGAATTTATGTTTTCCCGCGTTAGAAAAATGGTTGAGTGCGTAGCCATGTTTTTGCGATGAACTTGCGCATTACCGGTCTCGTAATTTACATTTCTCGAGCACGAAGTTCCTTCATTTTATTCGCACGGTATTCGTTAAGGCTAGATTATCATTATACATACTTTTGTTTTTGATCATTAATTTTTCGACAAAACTGTATACAGTAATGACGTAAACTCTTACGATTAAATGTTAGTGGTGATGAAAAAAAAGAAGTCGAAGGAATGGGCGGAGTTTGCGCTTGTCGGGATCCAAGGTAAAATACGTCAACTTGTTTGAATAAGATAACCAACAATTTTCCAAAGGATTTACGAATGGTGCGTGAAAGGATCAGCTCCGACATTTCTTTATCGAGATTTGGAGAAATTTGGAAGGAACGTGGTACAGGTTAAGAAGAACGGATTGAGAAAAGCGGCGAGGTTGCGTCGTAAATAAAGTGGATGCGCACGCGGACAATAACACGCGAGAGCGAGTGAGGCAACGCTTTGGTTAAAGAAGGAAGGATATGAGTCGAACGCTCTGATTGGTCGAGGCGGCTATAATGGCCGCCGATTGGCGCACGCACGCACGAACACCAGGTATTCGATACCCACACGGACGCACGAACACGAGCGTGGATCAGGAGCGTAGCAGTCGCTCGCGGCCGAGAAGAGTGAAAAGAGCGACAGAAACGGTCGGTCCGCGCGTTGCCTTGTAAGGCGGAGGGAGAGTTGGTGTGTGACGTCCGTGCGCGGATGGCTCGAAGAACGCCGATTTTCCTCAGCTTCTACAACGTATCCTCGCCAAGCGGAGGAAGGAGCGAGTGAAAGGAGAGTGCATGCGAGCCGGGCGCGACGCCGACCCTCGACACAATCGCGTATACGTAAAATTCGACAATCCGTCAAGTTTAAAGCTGCCGAAAGCTGCTCCGTTTTCATTATCCTCGTAGCGTGTATACCAGTCTAGAAACAGATTATTAGACACCCAACGACTCAACGTGAAATATCCCTGATGGTTAGAAGACAAGATACGAAGACGAAACAGAAGTAAAAAAGGGTAACGGAGCATCCGGAAAGGTAGAGATAGAGTGAAAGCCCGAGCGAACAAGCGAGGGACGGAAAGTGACCAAGAGAAGCGAGAGCGAGTAAAACGCCAAACAAGATACGTAAGAGACAAAGGCCACGGCGGCATAACCTCCAAGCGATCCGATCGTGCCGCGCATTAAGAGGAGGATACCCTGCTTTGTGGATCGCCTAGAAGGAACATTCGGTATACATTATTTGCGAGAGATTATATTTTTACAAATGCATGCCTGCTGTCTGGGCTTCCATATATGAAGTGTCGCACGAGTGAGATAGAGAGAAAGAAAAAGAGCACGTGTATGGAACTTATTTTCCTCCAAGTAAAAGAGGAGTCGTCGTCGTGGTCGTCGACGTCGACGTCGTCGTCAAGTGAAAGAGCGGGACTGTTGTTTGTACGGTCGTGTTTTTCCGCGACACCTAGTATACGATAGACCATAGCCCGCGAGTGTTGTCTGCTGTGTGAACAAATTCATTCTTCCGACGGCACAAAGCAACCGAGAAAAAACAGGAATAGTTGAGAGGCGGCAGATAATATTCTGAGTGTGTAGTCCATCGTTGATGGATGAAACTAGCAGGATGCTGCAACACGGTGGATCAGGTGTTGGTCTAATGGGAGGGAATCAGGGCCAGGGGGCCCAAAACACCGCTGGCTATGGAAGCATGGGTCCTGTCGATGGAACTGCGACGCAGGGTCCGGATCAAGCAGCCGAGGCTAGAAAACAGGATATCGGTGATATTCTCCAACAAATTATGAATATCACTGATCAGAGTTTGGACGAAGCGCAAGCAAGGTAAGTCTCATTAAACATCCCATCAGCCGCCATTTTTTAATATCGCCAAGACGTATCATTTGCTGGTAGAGTTTTTTTACGCGACATTTTACGTATCTTTCTATTTTGTTGAAATATTTCCTTCTACGATAGTTTATCTCGCGTTGTTTTCGTTAAAGTTGTTACTCGAGAACACACTCGTATTGTCTGGTCGCGTTAAATCTATTAGTATATCGAAACGGCAATGAAAACAGGTTATGTTGATCGCTTTCAAGTATTTCACGGCGCGATTTCGTTCTCGGGGAAAGTAAAGGTTATATTTACGATCCTTTTTAAGATTTTATAGTACCCGGTGAACCGTTAAATGACAAGTATAATACTTGTATTGGTAATGACAAGCTGTAATGCAGGTTGCGTAGAACGCGCGATAAGACTCGGTTTATCTTCACACCATTATTGGTCCACGATCGTGGAACGTTTGCGAAAACGTCTCGCTTCTTTCTTACGTTCAAATAGGCCGCACTTGAATTACCTTTATTTTCGGATTCGTGTTTCGTTATCGTAAATGCTACAGCGCACTAGGATTTTCAGCTCGACGTATGATTTACGGTTTGTTCGTTCGTTTGCCCAGGAAACACACACTGAATTGCCACAGAATGAAGCCGGCCCTGTTTTCGGTTTTGTGCGAGATCAAGGAAAAAACAGGTAAGCTTCGTTGGTTTTTACTCTCTTATTTAATCCAATCCGGTCGAGTTACATATGTCGAAGCTGCTCATGTGACCGTGCGTCACAAATCGTGATCCAATATTTACCGGTGTGTCGCGACCGTATCCCATAAATTAAAATACGTCAGTTGACCGGAAAATCTGCGGTTTATTCAGTAGGTGATCGAGTATTAATGAAATTGTTCAAATTTTCATAAAAATCGAGGAAAGAGTATCGAACAATGCGAAGTAGTCTTTATAATTTAGATTTCGAATACAATTTTCTCGATTGCATTTCACTCCGTTTATCGAACGCGCTTCCATAGACGTCGACTACAATTCGTTACGTTATCGTTATTCGCGGTATTCGTTCCAAGTTATCTGTGGTTATTCGATTCTTGTATCGCTAGTCACCATCTCCCGAAACTCACGATAAACGACTACCGATTAAATAGACGCCGACGAGATAAGAGAGAACACTCCATAAAAGTACGGACGATCACCTCGTAACTCGCATGCACCGGTCCGCCTCTCGCATGCGAGAAGTTCTAAACAATCCGAGAAATTCCTACAACGAGAGATCCCTATCTTGACTCCAGGCGAGAGGAGAGAGACTGTTGATACGTTTCGGACGCGCGGTGCAGGCTCGACCCCTGCGCCCATTCGAAACTCGTAAACATAATTTTTATGCGATGTTTGGATTACTTTTACGCGCGGATCAAGAGACCACGAAACGCGCAATTATTTTTCGGGTGCGAGGGGTGGCTGGCTGGATGGCTGGATAGCTGGATGGCTGGATGGCTGGCTGGTTGGCTTGGCCCGAACCGACAAGGGGTGAAGAAGGGAGAAGAGCAGGAGGTGTGTGGGTCGGCTACCCCAAAAGTAGTTTCTGCTTGGTCGTTTGATGGGGGTGGTGGGGCCACCACGCCCCTCATGCTAAGCCACCCTCTTTCACGTCGTTCCGTCGTAAGTATATGTGTATATCCTACACACATTTTTCTCTTTCTCTCTTGTTCCAACCCTGGCTACCCTCCCCCTTCGGTAGCCAGCTAGTCTTCTTTCTCGCGACGAGGGTGGTATTGTGCTGGTCGAGGGTTCGACGTCGACGACATTCCACGTATAGCGTCCGTTGTATATGTATCTCCGATAAAAATTCGAAAGGGAGACTACTGGTCACATCGTCGCGAAACGATGCTCTTTTTCCTGCAGGATGATTCCAAAAGCTGAGAACTTGTACTTTTTCAACCGAATCGTAGACAAAACGTTGATTACAGCTGATTCGATACAAAGATTGATAATCCATTTTTGATATTCCTCGTTAGGGATAATAACGTAACAAGAAAGACTGATGGTCGAGTCATGATCGTTGATAAAACGGTAGGAGATTCGCGCGTTTCCGTTGTTCCTTAGTCGCATAATCGACCTTTTAACTGGTTTGCTTGAGTTTACTCGAGCATGAGTAGTCGTTCTTCTGGCGATTTCTCCGATACAAAGAAAGTGAAACAGAGTCGGGAACGTAAAGAGGATTTACCTACAGAAAAAAGGGGTCCAAGTATGATGAGCGCACTCGAGAGGATGAGTCGTTTTAATGGTTCCGTATTCTTTATGAGTTGCGCTAAGTATATACACGCGCGCGCAGACAGATGCATACATGGGTGACTGGGCGTCATGTGCGCGCGCGTAGGTCGGACGAAGGTACAGAGAAAAATGTATAGGGTAGTGGAGAACAGGCGACGAGGGGATGGAGAGAGAAAAAGAGGCAGGCAAGGCTTGTAGTAGAGTTTATGGGCAATGGCTGACGAGGCAGTGAAAAAGTACTAAAACCAAGAGGAGCAGATAAACGCTATGTTAAGCAGACCGTTTTACCAGCCATTTAATATAATCGGCTCTCTCGCGGAGCTCGGATAGCTTCGACTCCAGGGCTGTACCGAGTCAGATTTCTCCCCATTCGACACTTTTTCCATTCCCTTTGTTCGTTATCGATAGATGCAGCTACGGTTTGAACCCGCCGTCGCGTCATTACGAATTCTGTGCTCTAATTGTATCACGGCAACGAGCGTTACATCTTCAACAAATAATTTAAGAACGTATCTACTCGAATTAACTTAAAACAAAGCGATCGCGACAATGTCGCATTGTATCGAATATACCTAGCTGATAAATGCATTGCTTTCCTCGTCCACTACGCGAAAGATCTACTTTTAATGGACTTGCCTCCCATTTGAATAATCTTGCATCGTGATTGATAGTCTCGCAGCGTTAGTCCCCAGGCGGTGACGATTTGTCACGGTCATTCGAAGCCAGCTACTTTTCGAAACACGATCATCTTCGAAAACCTGTTTTGGACAACCCCGTTTAGGTCGATTTCCCATGAGATGCGCGAGGATCCCGAAGGGTAACCCAGCCCAGCGCGATAGAGAACGAAAAAGGGACGAGAGAGAGCTCGAAATCCGCGGGATTTCTCGAACCCGCCTTCCGTCTAACCCCTAATCCGTTTCTTTTTTTCTTCTTCAGCATCCTGAGATCTTTTTTCTTCGAACAGTCCTTCGCAGCGGTGGCGTGTATAAATAAAGCGCCGTCGCTAGATATCGTGTTTTTCTAAAAATATTCTCATCGTTATCGAAGTGAACTCAAAATGTGAGTATTGGAATGTCAAAGAATTGTCTGTCCTATCGTTGGACAAAATTTCAAAACACATCGAACACTTAATTCGAAATGAACGGCGAAGCGTGACTCTGTAATTAATCAAAAACTGGTCGCTATCGATTGCTAGCTCGGCCGTCCGATTGGCGGTCGACTTTATTTATCGTCTGTCGGCGCGTGTACCGTACGCGAGCTTTGAAATGCGAGTCGATCGGTTATGCATCCTCCCACTCTTCCATCAACTCTTTCTTCATCCCTTTCGATATATCGTCATTCAATTAAACCGACAGCCAGACATCGCGTTACTCTCGATTCCGTACTTTTGAAACGACGTCGCCGCGGTCGCGTTCTGGCGTAACAATTAAAAATCCATACTCAATTTGGACGGTGTCCAAACGGTGATTCTCTTTTACTTTCGCACATCCACGCCGTAAGTGTTTCCGCGGGCAAAACCCTTCGCCTTCGCCATTCTTGTTTGCCGATTTTTTTTTTTTTTTTTTTTTTGTTTAAGTCTCTTAATTTTTTAATCCGAAGTTAGAGTAACGCAACGCTGTTAAGCGTGTTTGATTCGAAACATAAATAATTAACAAGTCGCTATACAGGTTTTTTAACGAACATTGTTTTCGTAAGAGTAAACTGTGTATTCTACGTTAATTGGCGCTCACTTTAATTAAGGCTTGCGCAATGTTCCGCGTGTTTGTTTGTCTCACGCGATTGTATCCACGAGTCACACGATATGCTATATAGCGATTCAACCATAATGTATCCGTTTACGTTTAGTAATTTGCGGTAGGTTTATAGCTGAAATTCCGTTTTCCCTTCTAATTAATAAATAAGCTCGCAAGGATCAATCGTAATTACCGAGGTTCGCATAACGATTCAAAGAATGAATAATGTAATTTACTCGCTTGACGCTACACGCCTCGCGCAGCATGATTTAACGCGCTACTTCCTGTAATCTAATTTACGGAAGTTGTATCGCGAATTGGGATTGAAATACCCACCCCTACCCATTGGTGCGATTCCCTTATCCGATCACGATCCGTTTTATGATCCGCGAGGAGAAATTTTCCAGGGATCGAATCACTAATTATTTCCATCGATTCTGCCCGTTCGCGATTTTTCTCTCGACCGAGAAACGTATACCCTTATCAATCGATTTTAGTTTGAATTAGTTTGGAAACTGTGTCGTTGCAAAACACGAAATGTTGAAGTTTAAATATGCAGATATAACGAACACTAGAAAGACAATTTATCGAATCGATTTTCAACGATTGTTTATATAAGAATCGAACATTATTACGATTCAACGTTGGTCGTATCGCTGGCGAAGTTATAAAGGTAGCGTCGGGTTTTCACGAGATGACGCTTCTCATTCCAACCCCAGTTGGAATGTCGTTCCCCTAGCTTCGATTTTCTTTTCTTCTTCTTCTTCTTCTTCTTCTCCGGCTTCTCCTGCTTCTCCGGCTTGTTCGTCTCTCCGTTCATTTTTCGTTTCGTGTTTTCTTCTCTCTCTTGTTCAACCGCGGTCACCGCATGCAGATGGGTTCCAGCAACCAAGGTGAACCAGCCTTCTGCTCGCTCTCAAGAGGGAGCCTCAAACTTCTTCGACTCGACTAACGAGATTTGTCCGATTCCAGCTTGTCGTATTGTGCACTGATTTATTATGAAAAGTTTTTAAGGTTGCACAGAGTCTTTGGTGAATTCACTCGCAAATATCGAGTAGACGTGGGAGCTTTTGCTCGTCGCGCTAGCGTTTCTCAGCAATTTCTGTCGCGATGGAAGCTTCCACGGCAACTTTGTTCGCTAAAGAAACTATACTGGGTGGGTAGAAACTTTGGCGAAGAAACACCAAGATTTCATAACGTTACCAAAAAACCACACCGATCGCTAACAAAGCAAACACCTAGCTGTAAAAATTGTTCAAGAGCACGAATGGGTTAACTTGAGAATAAATACGTATAGGGAAACGATATTTACGGTCATGAAACTCGTAACTACGTAAATGTAGTCCCGATATTCCTGTTGCGATGCGTTGTATATTTATAGGCGAAAAATAAAAGCTTAGACACGATTATCGGATAATATCATTACCGTAATGTCTGGTCGCAGATAAGATACACGTTGCATTCGTCGACAAGGATCGACGTAGAGAGTCACATTTCGAAAAATCAATCGTACCGGTGAAATAGCAAAATCCGACGCTACAGGCGCGCGGCAAGTAATTTTGCTCCGTTGAAATACTCGCGGAACAACGTTTCGTAGAATCGTTCTCGAACGAAAGCTCCGGTCAGTGTATAACATTCGCATCGCATAATCGAAAATGGAGGACGCGTAGCGAGTGGAGTAATGATACGG